CATCCTGATATTTTAATTTTTGATCTAACCTATTTTAACACTGAGCTAAATTGTTTTGTGGGTGAGTGTTTTGCTAGTTTGTGTCACCCTGTATAACTTACAGTTACTTTAAGTTGGAGGGTTAAAAATTTTAAAACTGTTGTACTGTAGAATTAAACTATCTATATTTATAACACATGTTATTCACCTATTGTTGACTAGTTATTAATGTTTATAATGCACATTGTATTTCTCTAGAAACCTGAGATTTTAATGCAGGAATTTAATATGTTAGTCTTAAGACAGTTTTTGCCTTTTAAAAGACAGCCAAGCTGAAAACTGAAGCCAGAATTTTGTAAAGAAATTCCTGTAGCATAATTTACTGTACTGCTCTAATGTCGTCCTGTAGAATTCTTGTTAGATTGGTGATCTTACTGTAGATTTGTTAAGTAGACCAAGAGCTGATGCTCAATTTAGCACAAGAAATGTAATGAAGTTTTACATCCTACTTTTCTACACCATGTGAAGCTAATTAAGACAGTCTAAAGTGTGCAAATTTCAATATTAATAATTACACTAATGATTATAATATCGATCATGGGCTTGAAACAGTGGCTAGTTGATTAAAGAAAATTCTCTTAAAATAGAAGTTTAACAATCCTTGATTTGAAAGATTTGAGAATGTTAAAAAACATGAAAGTAAAATTGAGAAATAAAATTCTAATATGTATGAAGGAAAAAGTTGAAATTTAACTTAAAGATAAAGTAATAGAATTTAAGAAGTTGTATAAAGTAAAACATTTTGAGAATGAATTTAAAATTGCTGTTGAAATATGATTTGTAAACAACTCCTCCCTATCTTTAACCTTTCACTTTAGTTTAGTTACAGGCTATTTTCTTATTATTCTGATTCTTGAGATTGTTATGATTCTTTAAATTGTTGTAAGATACTAATCAAACTTATCTGATGGCTATGACAACTAACTCTCAATGTGACCAAGTGGTTTGTTAATTTGTAAGTGTTGTCTAAGCACAAAGTTATTTGCCTTTGATTTTGTAATATTTAACATTTCACATTTTCACACCATTTTTTAACAATCTTTTGAAATGTCTTAAGAAGATTTTTTTCAGAAATACATATGTCATTATCATCATTTTTGTCATTTTGTTTTTTCTAAGAATTAATAGTTTAGGGGCAAGGAGCAGCAGGGGGTACAGTAGGGGCCTCAGAATCAAACATTTAAGAACGTTATGGATAACAAATTTTAGAGTGTAGCATCCAAACCCAGGCCAGCCTTGTTGACGTTGACCAAATCAACTTGTATGTAACTGAAGATATGGTAATGATTATTTAAGATAGAATGAGATTACCAATACTAGTTATAATAATGTAAAAGTACCGATATCTAGAGGTAATAAAATGATGTAAGAAATAAGAATAATGTTGAGTATATTGAAAGATAGACTACAAGCAACTTGTCATCACTACCAATAAAAACATAGGTACTAATAGTCAAACTATAGTGTGAAATTTATTCTTAGTGTTGATGTATTGATAAAGGTGTGAAAATCTGCTGGGAAATTCTAGCCAAAATACTTGCTTCATTTAACTATATTCCTCTTTCAAAAACAATATTGACTGAAGAAAAGTTAAAGAAAATAATGTATAAGATTTCTCCTGTTTTCTGTATATTCTATTTACCATGGCCAAGATTCTATATTTTCTTTATGGTTCAAAGCAGCTCAAATCATTTGGACCAGTTTTTAACCTTCTGCTATGTCTCCTGTAAATTCATTTAACTGATTGTTTGTCAATTGTTTGATTTATAAGGATGCATTGTTGATATTTTTTCTCGCTGGATCTTTCAAAGGAACTCACAATGGGGATGAGAGTAGGATTAGTTTGACAGTTTTTAGATCGGGTATTGTCCAAAACATTTTATGCTCCAACTGTGAGTGCGAATCACCTTCAAATTTTGGCAATATCTCTACAGATATTTCAAAATTTGTCTGATAATTTAAAGTAAAAATGATGGGAATCAGAGAATTTTAGTTATATTATTGTCTATATTTTGATTGTTTATTATTGTAAGGTAAATTTTAAACTTGAACATCTGTTGATATAGATAGAGAATCTAGTGGAGTGAAATCAAATAGTTTGGTGAAAAGACATGCTGTAAAGATATACTTTAACAGATGTATTTAAACTGAATGATGCAAAATATGAAATTTGAGTTCAAAATAAGAAATATTAATGATGGCAGCCTGATGAAATATCTGTATGGTTAGGCGTATCTGTCAACAGTCAACTTAGCATATATTTATCATATTTTCTAGTCAGGCTCCGTGGATCCTGTCTACCAGCTGGTACTTGGCAATAACTTGTGGCGGTGATCTCTTCTGGTTATGTGTACCTAACTTGGTCCACTGGTACTAAGGAACCCTTCTTCTCTTACAAAACCAGAAAACAACATCATAAGAATCCAAATTTTATGAAACTGTTCTCTTTCCATTTGTCCTACCCTTCAGAGCTGAAAATGCACTGTTGGATGCTTTTATATCTGTTGAATAGTTGACATATCTAAAGGCATTGTTGATATATCATTGTTTATTTTTGATATATAACATAATATTAATATACTCTCTGACATCATACAATAGATTACAAACATTCCTGTCATCCTTCCTCAATATGTCATGACACAAAAATATGCTGTTCACTTCTGTTGGAATCTGTAAAAGAAACCTCCCTATATAATAGCAACATTCATCCAATAATTTCTAAGGTCCATATAACAACATAGAGTCAGTGAATGGCTGTCTTATTTTACTGAGCAGAGATACAGAAAATACTAGATATGAATGAAAATGTTCAAATTGTTTCCATGTTAATATCACATGTCCCACACTCAAGGTACATCTCCACCCCAATGAGAATGTTAATAATGTAAACAATATAATATGAGTATAATAATGATAATTGAGACAATATTTATACAAATAGGTAGCAGGTATAATATCAGATGGTATTAATAAATAATATACCGTATACCACATCATATTGTCTATCTTAACCTTTTATATATCGGTATACTATACCAGTGGGTTGACTATTTATTTTCCAACTCAGATTGCCACAAGGGGGCCATGGTGGTTCAGTGAGTTACTAATTGCTCACTAATCTGAAGGTCCAGGCATCAATCCAGGAAAAGGTCCAGATAGATATGATTAATACATCAATATTTTCTGATCTTGAAAGATCTTATCTTTAATTTAATGGAAAAAATTGGACTGATTCTAATGGTGACTGCATTAACTAGTTTTATTTAATTATTAAAAATCTAATAGGTGTTTTTATGACATAACTGACATTAAAAAGATAGATAACAACTCAGGTTCACATGGATCCTTTTTACAAGTCTGTCCTGGGCTAATCTTCTTGGCAGTTATCTTTCCTGTAATATCCCTACACATTTACATTTGGGTCAGTTTTAATATTGATAAAGGATGGCATATTCAAGGTCACCAGAACTTCATAAGCCAAGATTAGAACTCACAAACATCATGCAATGCTGTAAGTGATTGTTATTCATAACTCTGAAACTATGATGTTCCAGATGAAAGATGATCTGGCTCTAAATTATATGCAATTTGTTTTGCAATGATGATCCTGATATATAGTGATAAATGTCTATGAACAGTTCATTTTGACAGTCTTGAATTCTCGCAACAAAAGTAAGAAATGGAAAAAAATAATGTTATGGTAAAAAAGGGAATCATCTGATGTCAGTCTATCAAGATGTCATTATATAAAAACTGTTATGTTAAAGTCTGTCAGACAGGGGAGATAAGTATCTGTCAGCACCTGTTGGTTATATATGATATTTAGATAAGACTAATTAGTTATTTTCATAAAATTACCCTTGTATAACAAAAATATACCCCTCCCTTACACCTTGTTAATTTGTTCATTAGATGATAGGGAGTGAAAACTCTGACTTCATGAACCAATCAAGTCATAGAACAGTAATATCTGACTGTCGGACAAAGCCATGAGAAACATTTTCTTATTATAAACAGTTCAGGTAGCAGCTCAATGGTTCTCAGATTTAGTCTTGTTTGTATAACTATGCTCTGTCTGAGTTCCTTCCAATCTTCAACTCTGTGTTATCTTTTGAAAGAGTTCTAAGAGTAGTTGTGTTTTTATGTAGGGAGGGTAACAAATTGCTATTTTTTGACCCTTCCTTAAAATTCTATTCTCTTATCATTGTAAATCAAAAACAGTTTTTTCATTCTTTGGTATTTGTTCTGAAAATTAACGTAATAATTTATTGATTTTAATACGCAAACAAAAGTATGCAAATTAAACTGTATTATAAAATGTGGAAGTTGAAATAAAGAATTGCTGTTCTCTGTTGGCATCTCATCCTAAAGATGATTTGGACTGTATTTTTTGTGAGACACATCTGTAAGATTCATTAACTTGTCTCTCCAACAAAAATCATCTGTTGCTAGTTTCATTTTGTTGATTATCTTTTGTCAAATTTCTGTCAGTTTTGGCAAGAAGAGGGTAATTTTATATTTTGTTGAAAAATTGTAAATGGTTATCCCATAACTCATGCAATAATTGCCAATGGTTTAACTTAACTAGGAGACATTCATCTTATACATTTATTTACTTAGTAAATTGATAGGTAGACTGGCTTTACCAACAATATTTTATTTTAAAATCTCATTTCTCTTGTACAGTTTTAATACTTTAAATGGAGGTCAATAGACAATCTTAAAGATGGCTTTACATCATTGAAGAAGTTTTAATACTTTAAATAGTATTCAATGGACAATCTTAAAGAGATATTTTAATCATTTGAACTGTTAAATACGCTTAAAGCAAATGTCTCTATTCACAGAGCTAAACTTAGTACTAAATGAGTAATTGACACATTACTATTAAGTTGAATTAAAATACATATTTCTTAAAATCTGAATTTATCTAAGTTATGTTTGTGTAAACCCAATAGATAATTATGTTAAAGTTAGATTTTCTATCAATTTTCATTCTAAACTGGCTTATTTTATGAAAAAAAACGAGATTTCACTGTCACACAGCTTACTTGCAAATACATTCAAATCTACTGCTATGATTAAAGGCAGTCTTCGGTAATGGAATTAAAACCAATATATTTAGACCAATATTTTCTCATAGAAAATACTATATTCTAACTTCTAAAACATTGAACCAGTACCATTGTGATTTATTATGTAGTTCACAACAAATTTGTTTAGACTATTGACTATACAGTTTCTATTCTAAAAATATTAACCACTTAAACTTAGTTATCACTACATACCATATTTTTAACTTTATTTTTACAACTCAATTTCAATGGTTTTTGCACATTATCAGTATCTCTGATGTAATGGGGAGGCTGTGAAAGTTAAAATGTTGATAAAGTTAGAGTTATACCGTATTAATCTTGTAGGCTAGATGTAATCAGGACAGAAATCAGCAGGGTTGGCATATAGCTACTTGATTAATGTATAGAAATATATCCTAGTTCTGTTTGAAATTCTCTACTTCCCCTGCCATTAACATGATCTATGGTTTCTTCTAATGCATTTTCTAGATAAACATACATTTATTTTTATTTTGTTAAAAATTTATAAAAATATTAAATTTATGTATTTATATATAAAAATACGTGTAATTTATGATATATGAGTTGAGTTGCCAAGTAAACACCATGAGCTAGTTCTCTCTGAAAGGGAATTTGAGTTGCAAAGTGGAATCAGGTGTTCTCTGTGGGGAGCCTAATGCACATTAAAGTAATATAGTTAATGAACAGATCATATTGTTTTTCATGCATTATTACCCCAATATCTGATTTCTGAATTGATTTATTGCCTCTTAATGTGACAATCTAACTAGTAAAAAAAATAAGCATAATTTTCACTTGTGTAACACAGAAACATATAATCACTAATATACAGTTAACTGTTTCTCAAAAAATGTTATGGTCAATATTTATTGCTACTTGCTCTTTTACATGTAAAAAACATAACAAGATTTTTTGTGCACCAGGACTTGGGAATTTAAAAACAGTGAAATAGAAGTTGTGTATTTCTCACTCCATTAACTTGCTATAAAACACCTTATTCTATAATACTTTAGTATAACAATATTTTACTTATTCCTTTATTTTTCAGCTGGATTATGGGCTAAAGATTTACCAAGAACACAAAATAATGGAAATTTTAACTATTCTAAAGTAGATTATCAAGGTATGGTCAAAACCAAATTTCATAACTGAGTATCATTATCATGTTAACTAAAGTGTGGCATTGGTATGAAAAGTTTGACATATTTACCCAGCCAATTGAGCCAGCTTTAAATATGTTCTGGATCAGTATCATCATATCAAAGTGTCAAAGGTGTTAGGTAAACTGGTACAAATATTTAGGATACAGATGATTTTAGAATGATAGTGCTTCTTGAGAAAGTAGCTTTATTCAGGACACCATTGCTGTCTCATTGTCTATGAACTTACCTGTATAAAACTCCTTGATCATTGTCATTGACTTCTTGATCATTGTCATTGACTTCTTGATTATTGTCATTGACTTCTTGAATATTGTCACTGACTTCTTGATCATTGTCATTGACTTCTTGATCATTGTCATTGACTTCTTGATCATTGTCATTGAATTCTTGATTATTGTCATTGACTTCTTGATTATTGTCATTGACTTCTTGATCATTGTCATTGACTTCTTGATCATTGTCATTGACTTCTTGATTATTGTCATTGACTCTTGATCATTGTCATTGACTTCTTGATCATTGTCATTGACTTCTTGATCATTGTCATTGACTTCTTGATCATTGTCATTGACTTCTTGATCATTGGACCAAATATTCTTCTAATAGTCTCACTATCTCGTTGTCATTTCATTTCAGAACAAAGTCGTCCTGATAGTTTAACCACATCAACTCATATATTCTATATTGCTGTGGGCTGTGCTTGTGCTTTAATACTACTTATTGCCCTTGCTGTAGCTGTTTATTACCTCAATTCACAGAAGAGCTCTGATAGGTATTCTAAACGTATGAATTATTAGTAAGTAACTAAGAAAAGTACGGTTTTTGAATAAGACTTATAGAAATTGATTTCATTGCATAAGATGTTGTAGTTTAGTTATTGAAAAGACGTAGAATTTTGAAATTGAAAGTAAAAACATAGATATACAAGTATAATTGAACAGAAGAAAGCAGTACTTTGTAAAGAAAATGTATCATATAAATAATGACTAGTGTATATTTTTCAGTGATTCAAGTAGTAATCAAGCTTTAACTGCTCAAAGTCAAACATTTTTACGTCCAGATACACCCAATAATGCTACAGGAGCAGGTAGGTCCTTTTTTTTGTCTTAGATTGTTAATTGTTTTGAAATCTAGATAAACCAATCTTTATTTCGATGAGTAAAAACTTAAAAATTTTAACACTGTATTGTGTTTTGGCATCACTAAAGAAGTTTTTGAAAATCAATATTTAGATATTACTGTTAGTGTATTTTGAATTAGTTTCTCCTGTCGCAATCTTAAACGTCTTTTTGACCTGTGTTAAGAAATAAGCTTGATACCAAAATTCAAAATGGCCAAGTGATATAAGTGCTAACATGAGGAAATTTGAAAATGGTTGTTTTACTATAGAATTTAAGTTGTAAAGTAAAGTTGTCATGTTAAAACAGAAAAACAAGTGTTTATCTAACCTTGTGTCGAATTCTATTTCAAAGTGTTTACACCTCATGTTTTTTACCATCTTTGTTTTATTTTCTCGATGGCAGTCGTATCAATAAAGTTGAGTTGTCACTAAATATATAGCTTGTTAAAATATTAACAAAGTTTTGTTAACAAGTTCCTAAAAAAACACTCCTCATCTTTAAAGGGACTCCATGCAGTTCAATACAATGCAGGATCTGTTTTTAATGACTGATTTTTTTTGTGGGGGGAGGGGGGAAGGGAGGGGTTGGGAATGAGGGATTTATGAAACACAGAATTATGCATATCACCTCAGGCTTTAATTGGAGAAGATTGAATTATTCAGATAATACATTTTTAGCAAATATTTGGACATACCGTAAGCAGAGATAGTCAGTTTCAGAATTGAGATATATTAGTAGATACAACTATTAGATTTAACTTGAATTAAGGTATTCTAATTTAATATATAGTAGAGTTGATATAATGGAATTTTATAAATACATCATTAATATAAAATGAAGAAATCAGATGTAAATACCTCTTAGTCCCCTATTTATTTATTATGGTTGGAGCAAGTAAGTTTATAATATTGTAGTAGGTGATACTTGTCAAATGTATTGCTGATAGTAAAGACGGCTACTTTAAAAGTTAGTAAATAAATGAGATGTTTGTAGTAAAAACATGTTGTTTTTGTTGACACTATAACTTGTCTCCCGTTTTTCTTCTATAAAAGGAATGTGATTGGCTAATATTGAAATTTGTCATGTACTTGTCACAACACGGCCTGCTTTTCTTTTCTCATATTTTAGGCCAAATAATGTCAATTTTCAACAAAAAATATAGTCAATGGACTTTACATAAACTTTATAACAATATTACTAGGTTCTTCTTACAATATAAAACACAACAGATATAAAGCTCAAATTAAGTCTTTAAATGGCATTTAGTAATTGTTAGTATGATATTTAGACACAGTTTTATGGAACAACAATCAATTGATCATTTCTGCTTCTCAATGAAAAATGAAATAAAATTTTGTTAATTTACCAATGTATATATTCATACTTACAGTTAGTTTTACATGGTTCTAAATCATACAGATGGGACATCCCGCATACAATCCAATAATATATTTTTTGGTGTTTATATATCTACAGGTCTACCTAACTTCCGACGTGGTCTCTCTGCTATAACAGAATTAAAGTCTACTGATGTTAAAGAAGTATTAAATGAAATAGCAATAGAAAGAAAGAAAATAACACTAGGTGAAATATTGATGGAAGGTAAGATATAAAATTGATTGGTTCACATCAGGTCTTGAACTTAAGATGTTAGTTTTTCTGCCAAGCAGAATATGCATACACCATCTTATTGCCACACCTTACATAACTCTACTAATTATGCCATTTTTACACATGAAAATTCATTTTTGAAATAGGGTGACTTGAATTAAGATTTGAGTTTCTTTGATGGTGTTAAAGTGTGAACCCTGGTTGACTATTGTCATTAATTGTGAGCCTTAAATTGAAGCTGTGATCAGATGTGTTATATATCATTATCTATTATAATATAGGTACATTTGGTAAGATATATCATGGTATGTTACTAGTAGAAGATGAGAATGAAATTAGTCGAGAAGAAGAAGTATTTGTTAAAACTATTTCAGGTAAAATTCAGAGCCTGTTGATGTTTTCGATAAAAATTTGCATTGTGCTAAATTTTTCTTAAGGTAATGTAAAATGTAGACCTATTTTAAACTAGATCAAAATATGTAGAGAACATGAGAACAATACAGGTGATTTGATAGTTTGATCCTTGTATTGAGCATTTCTTTTCAAATTTGCCAACAGGTCTATTAAGCAATGAGATGAGAGTGACATGGTTAAATAGGATGAAAACTATTCCTCTTCACATATGAAAGATCTTTGTAAACTATTGTCTGTCTATATGAACTGTTTCAACTGAACGTACAGGACTTAAATTCATTTTAACATTCATGTTTTTCAGAACAAGCCAGAGCAGATCAGGTGCAGTTATTTATGTCAGAAAGTAGTCAGTTAAAAGGTTTAGTCCACCCCAACATTAACCCTGTAATAGGATCCTGTTTAGATGATACCAGTCAACCTATGTGTGTTTATAATTATACGAATGAAGGCAATTTGAAAAAGTTCTTACAAAAATGTCGCATGTCAGAATGTGGTTCTCATTATGTAAGTATTCATTATGAAATATTATTTTTGAATTGTGGTGAATTTGAGGTTACTGTTGGTATGATCACCATAATAGAAGATAATCTTGAAATTTATAATTTGTTTTTTGAGATTTCTCTAAAATTTTACCGATTTACAAAAATATTTGGTATATTTTTGAATTAGCGGTAGATGCAAAGGAATTTATTATTGTTAAAGAAAAACTTATTTTAAGACTGGAAGAAATTGTTAATTTAATTTCTGTTTTCCAGTCATTATCAACTCAGCAGTTAGTCTATATGGAAATACAAATTATACGTGGTATACAGTACTTACATCGGAAAAAACTCATACATAAAGATATTGCTACCAGAAACTGTGTGTAAGTAAACTTTAATAGAATTTTATTCAAAGTGAGAGTTGGAATTTATTCATTATAGATCCATGATATTGGCTTTTCAAGTTGATCACAAAGACTTACAAAACATGCTGCTTACGACAAATTCAAATACCAACTTTTTTACATTAATAATCTCTATTACCGGGATTGCTCTTCTAAAAGTATTTGCTCATAATATTTTTGGTGCAAAAAATTAAAATAGTTTCTTGATTGATATATATATATACATAATGAAATATTTGATATATTGTAGAGTTGATAATGACTTAATCGTGAAGATAATGGATAACTCTCTGTCACGTGACCTGTTTCCGGCAGATTATAATTGTCTGGGAGATAATGAAAACAGACCTATTAAATGGTTATCTATAGAAGCTCTACAAGATAAGAGATTTTCACCAGCTAGTGATGTGGTGAGTTCTTACAAAAAATATCCATAAATACTGTTTACAAAACTTATGATTATGACATCTTTGATCAAAAAGTTTCATTCAAGCTAGTTGCAAAATGAGCTGGGATTTTCCTGTTCAAACAAAGTGCATTCTTTGACCTCTGAACCTAGTCTAACCTGCATGTGTAGTTCAGCTTAAACTTTTCCTCCTATATTTAAAATGTAACAATAATACCTTGTTATTTCAGTGGGCGTTTGGTGTCACGATGTGGGAACTAATGACTATGGGACAACAACCATATGCTGATGTTGATCCGTTTGAGATGGCATCATATTTACGTGAAGGTTATAGAATAGCTCAACCAATTAATTGTCCTGATGAATTGTATGTATGAGTTATTATTCTTATATTTTGATTCTTGCCACTACTTTACTGTAGATTAATAAACTCATTAAATGATCACAGAGTATGTTAAATTGACGAGTTGTCATTTTAACATTATTCTGACACATATGGATTTGAAGGCTCAAATTTCAACGGTGAGCTAAGAACACTATTACTGATTAGCTTAGTTAGAAAATTCCTGTTAAAGATTGTTAAAAAAAAAATGTCGCATCCATCCCTTTAACAGTGAAAAATGTTGTTTTTGTAACCATTGTATTATGTATTTTCAGATTTTCTGTGATGGCATGTTGTTGGGCAATGTCTCCTGATGAACGTCCCAAATTTTCACAGTTACTAGGCTGTTTACAGGACTTCTATACAGCATTGGGTCGTTACATCTAAATTATGTTAAATTATCAGTAATAAGTGCTAAAAACAGTTTTTATTGGGAAGATTTCAAGATTAAAGACAATATAATGATGATGGGTGAAATGTGCCATAGTGTTTTGTGTTTTCTTCATCATCTTTATCTATGCCATTATAAACTATGTATTGTGATCACTTTATGCCATTATTAACTATCTATTGTGATCATGTTTTAAAGAGTTGTGTATATAAGACGTGGCTCATAACTTTTAAAATCAAACAGACAAAATATGCATTATATATATATATATATAGGTCACAAGACCATAATGTTATTTAAACAAACATAATGAGTTACTAAAAGTAACTATTATAACAGTATTGTGCTATATTTAACTTGTATATAGTTTTTTTTTTTACCAGTTAGTGATATTATCTACTTAGATACTAGTGACTCTTATTTAATTCAAACTATCAACCAAAGAAAGTTAGTGACTATTTAGTGACCATAGCAATTATGTAGGCAATTTACTGACTATTTAGTGACTTCGGTGAATATGTTTGGCCATAAATGGTCACTATATAGTGATTATATTGTGACTACATAGTGACTAGAGTGAAAATTGAAAATGTTTATTATATAGTGATTGTGGAATATGTAATTATTATATTGTGATCCTTTACTTACAACAAAAGTGAATAAATAGTGAATATTTAGTCACTATAATGTTGATTATACATAGTGATTATGGCAAATACATATAATGCCAAATACTATGTAGTGACTACATAGTGACCATACATAAGTTAGTGAGAAGAATTAAAAACTGAACCAGCAATATTTCTTATTACCTCCCTTTGTTTTTATTATGCAGATTCAGGTGGTTTCATAATAACACTTTAAACTGGTGTTTTATCACTGATGTCTAAACATATCTGGTATTTAGACACTATTTACTGCTGCTACTGCTAGATTATCATGTACATTTACTTATGGACCAGTACTTAAATAAGGTAGATATAAAATACAAATCTGTAAACAAGCCATTGAAAATAAGAAGCAGCATATATGATTATCAATATAGTTGAAATTTCAGCCAAAATATCACCTGAATTGCCTGCATTCTCACCAAAAATAATTTACTTAAAATAACTTTAAACCATTTAGTTATTTATAGTCCCAGTTATTTTAGTTTTTTTTACTTGAAATACATTTATTATTTAAAATATATTTTATACATGTATTTTAATGGATGTTGTAAATACCAGTATAGAGTGAATGAACTAACACACAGAATGAATGAATGGATGAATGTGAAAGAATAGTTGAAAATCATTTTTGTTTTTATTTTAAAGTTTGCCATATTCAGTCTACTGCATTTAAGTATCAGTACTTATTAAACAATAAACTATACCAAACCTATTGAAAATTGAAAGCACAGGCCGTAGCTGATAGTAGTTTGTGATGAATTGAAATCAAAGTGTTTTTATATATTTCTTTAAAAGAAAATTTTAGTTGTAGCTTGTAGGCTTCATTGTGTATATGATATCATTTATTTATAAGTCTATTATAGATATTCTGTACATTTATAAGAGAAATACATCAACTTAGAAACAAGTTTTATATGTGTTTTATTTTACGACTGGAAGAAAGATGTTTGACTACAGAACTTTTGACTACAGAACTTGTGATGCTAGATGCATCACGTACCAATTCTGCAGATTTTTCATTTATCGCATTTTGGAAGAAATATTCTGTTTTCAATGAAGGATACTTTCAGGCCCTTGGTTTTCACTTTATGCAAATGACTAAAGATTATTCAGCCCCTAGTATGTAGTAAATAATTTCAGATCTAGATTGCAGCATATTAATGGGTCATATATCTGAAACAAATGTCCATAGGTTCTCTGAAACTGATCATAATTATACAAAAAGAGAACAACTAAATAATTGACATTATTTGTTTATTTTTAATTTTTTTTTAACAACAAAAACAGGTACAGGGTGTAAATATAGTTATTCATTTAATAAATTTTACACTTATACACAGTATAAACTTATCTTATATACCTACACTTTCCTTAGAAAAATGTTTCCAAATGTCTGATGTAGCTAATATTAATAACTCTTTATGAGTCAATGCATTTTGTTTTAACTGTTGATTTACAAATGAATGCAAAACCCAACATTTTGTAATCATATCATTATTACCCTTTAATGTTCAATATACTCTTACTATATCATCATATGATATTGTTTTTAAATACCGGTAATATTTATAAGAATAGTCATGAAGGATAAACCTGTTCTAAAAACCGAACTAAATAGTTATGTTCAGCTACATGAGTTAATGTGTTGTAAACACATAAGAGGTCAATAACTTCTATATGATATATATAACTTCATTGATGTATATTACTGAATTGCCTAATCAAAAATTATAACATTGACCAAAATTTAATGTGTAGTTTAATATAGACCACAAGCAACAAATTCTTTTAGATAAGTGACCAAGGATAGATTAAGTTTGCCAGTGACCTATTTGACACCCCTCAACTTTTAAATGAACTCTGCCACACATGCATTTTTTGTATCAATAGATGAATAATTGGAAGAGCTCATTTGTAAGATTAGGGGTGTTATTTGTTAACTGTCAATTATAACTAGCCCTGTTCATCACACAGTTGAAATAGTCTGGTCAACAAGGAGATTATTATCAACATAAAAATAGTATGTTTGATAATGAAAGACATCAAAAGACAAAAAAAATCATTAAAGAATTACATTATATCACATAAAGCATTTAGTAGCAAACAGTCCAACAAATTACTATATTATAATTAACAATATAACGAACACATTGACTATCAGCATATAGTATCAACCAAAGAGTTCAATTGAAACCCCTTCAATTCTACTAAACTCTTCAGAGATTTTCCAGATTTACTGGAGGGTAAAGACTAAGGAGTGCGCACTATAAGCAGAATTATACAGTATTTGAGAGTGGTTAATATCTCTGACAGTCACTTACAAGTATATTGGCACTTGAACTAAAAGATGTGTAATAATTGATTTGAACTGATTTGCGACTATACTTTCCATTGAATTGAAATGTCATAATTATGTGTAAAAGAACATGACTGGTGAATGGAAGTTAATAAGTAGCAAGGATAGGCTGGCTGGACAGTCAATGTGTGGGAAATCAAGATAATAAAAGAGGCGCAGAATATAGCTCATCTATAATTAAAATATTGACAGTAGGCTGCAAGACAGAGAATCAGTAAACTTATTTAACTTCAAAACATATAACAATGTATCCTTTTGATGTAAAATACATGTGTACAAGGAATTGATTGGTGTTAAAAACATGATTGTTACTCTAGATCTGGTTTTGATAGGATGATATATAAAAAATAGTTCTTGTGGAGAATGAAGTTAATCATTTTTACAATGAGTTGATTGATCTACAACAGTTGCTTGGTTGGACAGTTGCCCACCAGATGATGATGGTTGTCCATCTGAAGGTTGACCATCAGAAGGTAGTTCTTCCTCTGAAGAATTATTGACTGGTGTGGAACTACTACCTTCTACTACTGTAGTCTGTGATGAACTTGAAGATTCAGAATTACCCTCAGAATTTGGAAAAGAATTTGGTGCTGGACAAGGATTTGTTGCTGTATTAGTCTTTTGCTGCGAGACAGTTGTCGGTTGCCCTGGTGATGTTTGATTTGCTGTAGCTTGTGATAATAATGTAGTTGGCTGTACAGTTTGTTTCACAGTCAATTCTGGACCTCCACCATATATTTTGTGTAAATAACACCATGTTTCTCTTGACACTTGACCATAATCTGATGTCTGTTTCAAAACTTGTTGACCATTTTTCATGACAGCAATACGATTATTTTCTATTGGTCCAGGTGGATCTGATAAATAAATAAATGCAAAAAATGAAAATACATCAAAGTATGATCTGCAAAATAAATGTAATATTGTGATAAAAATGTTAAAATGGAGACTATACATATGAAAATGTGGTATGTACAACAAAACTGAATTATCTCAAAATATATCAAAATTTAATTCTAAATAAACCTGAAATATGAATAAGCAAAGCTGTATTGCGATAATGATAAATCTATATAACAAACCATAATATATTACAGATAACTTACATGGTGTTCTATCTCGTACAAAATTCTCCCATTCTTTAAACCATACCATACTAATAGCATATATAACATTAGGATTCTCTTCACATTTAAATTCATCATTTAACTAGAAAATAATAACAATGAAAACATTTTATATTATGCCCCTATAAATTGTTTAAATCTAGTTTTGAATTTTGTCTCAAACAACCTACTAATATGATTCAACTTTTCTAACAAACTCAAAGTATAACTACTGGTACTTTGAATTTATACGAAAATGTACCTATACCTCTCTAGAAAGGAGAGTTATATCAATAAGGTAAAGATAGAGACTAATTCTTACTAACCTGAATGAAAGTATCCATTTCAGTTTTTTGTCGTAATATGAGATTATCTAACTCACGCTGACAGATTTGACACGAGTACAATCTATTACATACTGGACCACCTCCATATCTACAATAGTTTTAAAATATTTTTAACATATAGACAAGAAAAACACTTATAACTTTTGTTTAACAAATTTAACAAAACAGGAACCAATAACTATGTCCTCACAAAATATTTAATGAAACAAATTGATAAATTGTACACAGAAAGTAATATTGCAATTACATCAAGTAATAAGATTATTAAGTAATATACACACCTATTATATAGATATTCCCACATACATTGATTTAATGGTACTACTAGATTATCAACATGGTCTACTAGATATGGTGGTACACCTTAAATATATAATACAGTAAGTTAAACAATATCATTAATACTACTTTTCTCTTCCTGATTGGGCTAATGAAGACAAGCAAACTTTAACAAAGGCATCAACCTTTTTTTTCAATTGATCTCCAGCACCTTGGACCTTAAATTATTGTCCTATCTAAATGACAAGAGGTCAATGTCACACCCTTTTTCCAGAATCATTGACAAAGATCTACTATCATAAATTATATTAACATGGTACTATATATTGAGAATAATGATGACAGACTTATGATTTTATATTGCGACAAGGATCTTGAAACTACAGAAATAGACTGTGATTCTTACCTCCATGTGTACATAGAAAATCACTGTTAGTAATACGACCAGGTTCAGCAAATGTATTAAATCTGTTAATCCATTGTTTTGACACAAAAAACTGCATTAAACTTGGCTGAAGCAGGGAAAAATATTCAATAAGATAGTGGACCACAGCCATATACGCCCACCACGGCATGCTGATGGTAAATATTCGAGATTTTAGGGCAAGGCCAATAACTCTGCTTCTAACGGTCGAAAATAGCTCAAATTCGAACTTGATCCGTGTTTTATAAATATGTACACACAAACCGAATTTCATTTGATTCCATCAAAAAATCTAGTTTACAAGCAAATGTTGACGGACAGGGGTGCCAACAATATACGTCCACACAGAGAGATGTGGGCGTATAAAAATGATTCACATAATTAAAACTGTCAATTCACATGAGATATGTGCCAAGAAAACTACTGTTATATGACAACAATTCTAAATGAACTGAGCATTTAATACATATAGTGCTTAAAGAATAAAATTATATCAATACCTCTTTAGCTTCCATTAATTCCATAGCTTTCTGTCGTAAGGAATGCATTTGATCATTTCTCTTTCTAGAAAAAAATACAAAAAATATAATAAGATTATTCATGATTTAAGCTAATGAATTTCATTTTCATTATGAAATGCTCTGATAAAGGAAGACAAGTCATGAGTAGGTGTATATTCCTCTTAAAAAGGGACAGTTCACTAATAGTGATACATGAATTAGATCTGAATCAGAAAGATATGATTGGTGTACACTGACAATATATTAAGAATTTTTTTAATCTAACAAGACATGCCTGATTCTTTATTTAATACATTGTGGAAATAATAAATAAAATTACCTATAGAATAACACATAAGCTTCACAATTAATAACTTGTTGAACATCAACTTCTGTTACCACTTGATCATCAAATTCATACCATCTTTCATTAATATAGTTTAAACAGTATGCTGTATAATGTCCTCCTATAATATATCATTAATATAGTTTAAACAGTATGCTGTATAATGTCCTCCTATAATATATTATTTATATAGTTTAAACAGTATGCTGTATAATGTCCTCCTATAATATATTATTTATATAGTTTAAACAGTATACTGTATAATGTCCTCCTATAATATATTATTTATATAGTTTAAACAGTATACTGTATAATGTCCTCCTATAATATATTATTAATATAGTTTAAACAGTATGCTGTATAATATCCTCCTATAATATATTATTAATATAGTTTAAACAGTATGCTGTATAATGTCCTTCTATAATATATTATTAATATAGTTTAAACAGTATGCTGTATAATATCCTCCTATAATATATCATTATTATAGTTTAAACAGTATGCTGTATAATGTCCTACTATAATATATTATTTATATAGTTTAAACAGTATACTGTATAATGTCCTCCTATAATATATCATTAATATAGTTTAAACAGTATGCTGTATAATGTCCTCCTATAATATATTATTAATATAGTTTAAACAGTATACTGTATAATGTCCTCCTATAATATATTATTAATATAGTTTAAACAGTATGCTGTATAATGTCCTCCTATAATATATCATTATTATAGTTTAAACAGTATGCTGTATAATGTCCTCCTATAATATATCATTAATATAGTTTAAACAGTATACTGTATAATGTCCTCCTATAATATATTATTAATATAGTTTAAACAGTATACTGTATAATGTCCTCCTATAATATAGTATTTATATAGTTTAAACAGTATGCTGTATAATGTCCTCCTATAATATATCATTAATATAGTTTAAACAGTATGCTGTATAATGTCCTCCTATAATATATTATTTATATAGTTTAAACAGTATGCTGTATAATGTCCTACTATAATATATCATTAATATAGTTTAAACAGTATGCTGTATAATGTACTCCTATAATATATCATTTATATAGTTTAAACAGTATGCTGTATAATGTCCTCCTATAATATATTATTTATATAGTTTAAACAGTATGCTGTATAATGTCCTCCTATAATATATTATTAATATAGTTTAAACAGTATACTGTATAATGTCCTCCTATAATATAGTATTTATATAGTTTAAACAGTATACTGTATAATGTCCTACTATAATATATTATTAATATAGTTTAAACAGTATGCTGTATAATGTCCTCCTATAATATATTATTTATATAGTTTAAACAGTATGCTGTATAATGTCCTCCTATAATATATTATTTATATAGTTTAAACAGTATGCTGTATAATGTCCTACTATAATATATTATTAATATAGTTTAAACAGTATGCTGTATAATGTCCTCCTATAATATAGTATTTATATAGTTTAAACAGTATGCTGTATAATGTCCTCCTATAATATAGTATTTATATAGTTTAAACAGTATGCTGTATAATGTCCTCCTATAATATAGTATTTATATAGTTTAAACAGTATGCTGTATAATGTCCTCCTATAATATATTATTTATATAGTTTAAACAGTATACTGTATAATGTCCTCCTATAATATATTATTTATATAGTTTAAACAGTATACTGTATAATGTCTTACTATAATATATTATTAATATAGTTTAAACAGTATGCTGTATAATGTACTTCTATAATATAGTATTTATATAGTTTAAACAGTATGCTGTATAATGTCCTCCTATAATATATTATTTATATATTTTAAACAGTATACTGTATAATGTCTTACTATAATATATTATTAATATAGTTTAAACAGTATGCTGTATAATGTACTTCTATAATATAGTATTTATATAGTTTAAACAGTATGCTGTATAATGTCCTCCTATAATATATATTAATATAGTTTAAACAGTATGCTGTATAATGTCCTACTATAATATATCATTAATATAGTTTAAACAGTATGCTGTATAATGTCCTCCTATAATATATTATTAATATAGTTTAAACAGTATGCTGTATAATATCCTCCTATAATATATCATTAATATAGTTTAAACAGTATGCTGTATAATGTCCTACTATAATATATCATTAATATAGTTTAAACAGTATGCTGTATAATGTCCTACTATAATATATTATTAATATAGTTTAAACAGTATGCTGTATAATGTCCTCCTATAATATAGTATTTATATAGTTTAAACAGTATACTGTATAATGTACTCCTATAATATAGTATTTATATAGTTTAAACAGTATACTGTATAATGTCCTACTATAATATATTATTAATATAGTTTAAACAGTATGCTGTATAATATCCTCCTATAATATAGTATTTATATAGTTTAAACAGTATGCTGTATAATGTCCTTCTATAATATAGTATTTATATAGTTTAAACAGTATGCTGTATAATGTCCTCCTATAATATATCATTTATATAGTTTAAACAGTATGCTGTATAATGTCCTACTATAATATATTATTTATATAGTTTAAACAGTATGCTGTATAATGTCCTCCTATAATATATTATTAATATAGTTTAAACAGTATGCTGCATAATGTCCTCCTCTCCTATAATATATTATTTATATAGTTTAAACAGTATGCTGTATAATGTCCTCCTATAATATATTATTAATATAGTTTAAACAGTATGCTGTATAATGTCCTCCTATAATATATTATTTATATAGTTTAAACAGTATGCTGTATAATGTCCTTCTATAATATATTATTAATATAGTTTAAACAGTATGCTGTATAATGTCCTCCTATAATATATTATTTATATATTTTAAACAGTATACTGTATAATGTCCTCCTATAATATATTATTAATATAGTTTAAACAGTATGCTGTATAATGTCCTCCTATAATATAGTATTTATATAGTTTAAACAGTATGCTGTATAATGTCCTCCTATAATATATTATTTATATAGTTTAAACAGTATGCTGTATAATGTCCTCCTATAATATATTATTAATATAGTTTAAACAGTATGCTGTATAATGTCCTCCTATAATATAGTATTTATATAGTTTAAACAGTATGCTGTATAATGTCCTCCTATAATATATTATTAATATAGTTTAAACAGTATGCTGTATAATGTCCTCCTATAATATATTATTTATATATTTTAAACAGTATACTGTATAATGTCCTCCTATAATATATTATTAATATAGTTTAAACAGTATGCTGTATAATGTCCTCCTATAATATAGTATTTATATAGTTTAAACAGTATGCTGTATAATGTCCTCCTATAATATAGTATTTATATAGTTTAAACAGTATGCTGTATAATGTCCTTCTATAATATATTATTTATATAGTTTATATACAGAAACTGAAACACGTTGATGCTCAAGAGTCTCACACAGAGAGAATTTCAGGCAACTGACCTAGAACAACCTGTTTTCTACTGAAGTAAGGCAGTAGTACTTGTTATTGTGTCTGCGCTTGAGACAAGTTTGGATCCTAAGTGAAAATATCTTGACAAAAAAAAGTAAATACCTCCTGCTGTACCATGGTGACAAATAACAGCTGTTAAATCATATATAGTTATTTCATTCTGACATTCTACAATAAATATATATACATATATACATACATAGTAAAATTACTAAACATAATATTCATATATCTAGCTACAACTATCACTGACTTTGAATATCAAGTGTTACACATTGAAAAATTGTAAACAATCATTGTCTCTATAAACAAAGCCATTTACAAAGCTATTTCTGTTAATAAATACAGAAAATAAGATACTAACCTTTATGTAAGTAATGTTTCATGTCTAACCCTTCTAAAGGAAAAGCTACATATGCACCAATCTTAGAGGAGTAAAACTCATGACGGAATCTCTTTAGATGAATACATAATATCTGAAATAACGCAATACACTATAAATACTGAATTGAACTATGGGAATTATTCATAAACTGCCTGAGTGTTTTGAACATTTTTAAAATTTAATTTCATTGAGGGTGATTTTCTTTAAAAAAAATTGAAGTTGAGTGTTGGCATAAGGTAACCTACCTCTGGTAACTCTAAAACTTTGGAATATTTTAAACCATTTCTTAACCTATTTAACACAACAAAAAACAAAATATATATTTCAATATATGGCAGTATTTTTAGCTGCTATACAAAATTGCCACTTAACAGGATTTATTTTTTTTAATTATTTGTTAATGGGGCTTGAATACCCCTTGTAGTTATGACATAATAATCATTTAATTCAAGTAGAATTACAAGAACCACAGATGTCTGATTGAAAATTAGAATTGTGCAAATTAGTGCTATAGTGTCCCCTTTAATCATATATAGTCAAGAAAACCTCTCTTTTAATATATCAATAATGAAACTATACTTACTTTTTACATTTTTCACAGCTATACATATTATCTCCCTTGAGTTCATCTGCTGAGAAGAAAGCAGCCAAACAATCTTGTAATGATATAGTTGGACCAGTAAAGAAACTGAAAATATAAATATTTAACAATTTGCAATGTTATTAAAATTATAAATTCACAGCGCTGATAATCGATTATTTTGATGATTTTACCCAGCCCTAGCTAGGTCTATATTCAATATATATCAACAGATTTAATTTCATACAATCAGTTCACTCAGGAGTTAAATTGACAAGAAATCAGGGTGAATTTATCTCTAATATCCTTTACCATTTACTCAACGACTTTACCATATCCAACAACCAATATCATAGACAATATGGTGGCAACGTTTATGTTTTGTTTGGAGCTACCAATCTCCTTATCCAAACAGAAGACATTTGCAAACCTTTTCATCCAGGATAAAACCCATGTGATCCACCCCGGATTCACTTCTCCACATGATCCACCTTTTGGTACTACAGCTCCTGATAGTCCAGACTGACTAGAATGTAGTAGTTGTAGATGGTCTCGACTAGGTATCGGTAAACTGAGATCTTGAAATGTTTCTTTAGTGGTTGATATCTATAATAGTCATAATGGTCATGAATACAAAGTAATATACAAAATATACCTCAAAGATATCAGAATTTGGAAACTCAAGTTGGAATGTCTTTTTAAGACTCTAATATTTACACACATCACATCTTTTACAATTCAATGATAGTCCATAGTTATTTATAAATACATACCCTTTCACATGTTAAACACTGTACAGAGCTCAATATTCTACCATCAAATGTTTCTGATATTATACTCTTATAATGTATATTCTTCTTATTCTCTGTAACAACATAAGGAAATATAAAAATACATCTACATGAACAACTTAGACTTCTTTTAAAAGCTGTGAGATGAAAAGTGTTTGTGGTCTTTGTTCTATTGCTCTTGGGCCACAAATGGTTTGCGTTTGTATTTAAGTGGAATCACAATAATTGTGTGGGAATTGGTGCAAATAAAATCTTATTAACATAAAAGGTAGGAAATTAGGGTTTTATCTTCTAGTATGATATATAATTAAAACACTCACTTTTACTTGATGTACTTTTATTAGTGGTAGATTTCTGATGAATATTAACAGACGGTGTATTTTTATCACTAGATGGAGCTGAATGTTTTACTGAAGAACTGACCCTTGACCTCAAACTAGTTGTCGAAGATCCTAAATCAGATACAGCATCAGTAAATTCACCGGATTCACTTTTACTCAGACGATGACGTCTCTCGGGACTCTTGGCTAATAAATTAGTGGTTTCTTTATTGTCTTTAACATTGGGTATGGTATCATTAATATCATACATAGATCTAGCATTGTGACGATTTCTATCGCGACCTTGATTATTTGACCTTCCTCCCGATTGGTCATTACCATCACTACCTTCATCTTCAGAGAAATTATGATCTCCAGAATTACGTTCGCTACTCAGTCCTGAGTCACAAGTTTCATATTCACCATCTGATTGGCTACTAGCTGAATCAATGGATGATTTACGATCGTGAACTATTTGAGTAACAGGATATTCTGTGGATGTTTCTTCTTCAGTTTGATCATCATCCTCATCATCATCTTCTTCTATAATAGGTTGTTTTAACTCTTCGTGTAATTGGTCCATAAAGCATCGTAAAAACTCTTGTGTATCCTGTAAAATAAAAACAAATCAACAAAATCTGTAGGCCTAGTTTGTTATATCACTATCACATGTATGGAAAAAGTAAAATAGCATCACAAAGCAGTCTGACAGAACATTCTATGAGACATGATGTTCAGACACAAAAAAACTTTTATTTGAATAATTTTGAATTTGATATAGAATCTAAAATGCACATAAACCACAGATTTGAAAACCTTCTTCCAATTCTTTAATGATTAGATAATTTATAAAAAGATTATGATGGATTATTATACCATACCTGTTGTGTACAGCCTCTAAACATTGGATGTACCACTTTAATACCATTGACAACTCCTGTTGGTACAACATAACTTGGTCTAAAATAAATATAAAATGTGTGATAATTTCTGTTTCACACTAGAGATTATCTCCCATAACACTTGTCACCTGGACCAGTGCTTCTAATACATCAAATACATGAACACTCCTTTTGACTAAGTAAAACTTATCCTATACAACTTGCACAGATATTGCACAGATCATATAACTCATTAAGAGAGAGTAGTCTTACCTTTTTTTATGCCAGAGTTCTACGATAAGACGTAAATAATTTCGAGAAAGATGTGGTGCTTTATCAGGTCGTACATAGCCAGCACAATCCAGAAAAAATCTTGTTAAAGGGGGACTATATAAAAACAAAAAAATATCAACATTCAATTTTGTTTTAATAAATACACAGAATAACAATTTTTTAGCACTCAATCATGGAAATAAAATAAGATAACTTGACAGGAAGATGATTAGATTCTGGTAAGACCAGTGTATCTGGTTACAGTTCTAACTTGGTAATTACTTAACTTCGACAAACAATCCCAATATTGACATGGGTAACAGATAAGATTTTTATTGTAAAAAATTCTATTCTAAAAATGATTCCATAACATTTCCAGAAAAAATATTAGGTTATTCATTTGTGCATTCTTGAGGCATCATATCCGGATATTTCTTCTCGAAAGCGCACTATCTTGATATTCTTTTTTTTTCTTTAGATCTAGCTCTAAATCATATGCAAATGGTATATGATAAAACATACTTACCAATTAGATAAAGCTTGTAAAGCTGAATTCATATAACAAGTGTTTCCTAAATTTTGTAAACCAGTTAACCCTGTAAGGTTAATAAAAAAAACTATTTTAAATGAATTGATATATTTTTTAATGACACAATCTTGTATCTTATATTTGTGTATTCTCAGTTTGTTTTATAACATGACAATACACAACACTTTGGTATTTTTGCATCAAGTCACCTTTTTTCGGATCATTGTCCCTTGATTCAAACCACCACCACAAATGTAAAGTTTGTCAAATAATAATAATTGGGGCCTGTAGAGTGAGAAAGAATTGATAACTAGCAATTTAGGCACTGTCATTTTTTAATCAAACTCAGTAGCTTGTGGAGTGAGCATTTCATCTACAAATGTCATGTTAATTCTAAGGTCTGACCACAATGTTCATAAATTGCATTTTGATAATTATTTAATATATAATCATGTATCAAAAAAGTAGAGAATTTTATAGTTTACTTTTCACATCAATCTAAAAGTCAACATTCAAATTTAATCTTTTAAATTCAGACCAAACAAAAGACATACAAAAGCAAAGAGTGACAACAATATGCGTCCAAATTGCTTTAGAGGTATAAAAAATAAGGAATTTGGGTACTTTGCTATAGAACAAAATTTAACGATGAATGTCAGACCCACCTCTTGGTTTAATAGTCTCATCTTCATAATCTGAGTCAGAATCTTCATATGTAGATACACTTCTATGTGGTGAACTCTCATTAGATATATCTGATTTACCAGTGTGGTGTGGTGATAGATGACGGTTTCCATGGATACTATCATAAAATGTCATTATTTTACATATGTCAAAAAACTTACATAATCAATAGAATCTGAAGTCAGTTAGTCTATTAACAAGACAGCATTAATTCAACATAAAGATAATTACAAATGCTACAAGGTTTTCTTACTATTCAAAATTTCAAGAGGCCACCAAATAAACCAGTTATTACACGTGTATCATCTAGTTTCAAAGATACTCATATGTAAGTGTATCAGACATGAAATCAATGATAGGAAATCACAAGGGTTCAAATAGAGAGTCTCCCAATATAAATTAAAGGCAAGAAAACCTGATTAGGTCCCTTTAACATTGATGTGAGAAAAAAAGAAACTGTTTGGTATTTCAGGGTGAAATGAGGTTAAGGAATGCATACGCAATGTCCTTGGCAATCTGGAGATATGAAAAATACAAAAAATTGCTTCTACTTACAGCAATGGTGGGTTATTATTATCAGGAAAAACTTCAATTTCACATTTATTACACCATATTCTTAATGTCATTAAATTGATGGTTAAATTATGGTTCTTCTCCTGAAACACAAATAATTCAACATGGAGCTTGTTTCTCAGCAATTTGTTTGACTGACAGAGTTTCATTATAAATGCACTTACACATCACGGTAGAAGGAATCAGTAGCGAGTGTCATCATCTACAAGATTCTGTGGGATTAGTTCTAACTAGAAATATCTTAATAGCTGATAACTAAATATTCCGCCAATCAAACACCTTGACAAAAACGAATTTAGAGTTACATCTGGAATAGACTTGAACAATTGAGATAAACAGAGATTTCTGAAATTTAAACTTTCTTCATAAATCAGAAACTCCACACATATTTCAAATTATTTCAAGGGATACGGCAGACATAATTTCAAATAGGGTAGGTGGTCTCAAGTGCCAAAATATTGGACCATTGGTGATGAATCATATAAAGGCTCATATACTAAAATTGTAAACAAACAAAATCAGCTACAAACTGAACAAACCTCAAAATGTTTTAAACTGTGATCTTCTGCATTTTCACCACATCCAATATAATGACAGTCTTTATAAAGACAATACCATAGATGTGGAGAAGTTGCTGGACATGAGTCACATTCTTCTACCTATAATACATTGAAACAGTGACAATTAATCTTTACATCCAAAATCCAAAATGATCTTAAACCAATATAACCCAAATGTGATACAAACCAATAAAAATCATCAACTTTAACTATGTGGACATGCTACAACAAAAGCTATACACTGAATTAGATGGCAGATGCGTTTAAGATTAACATTAGTACTGGTAACAAACAAATCATCAGGTAATTTAGGGCAACATTTTGGAGAACTCAATATATTGAAATCAGCTGAGCAAAAATTTTAACAATTTGCCATTATGACTTACATTTTGTTTCAACTTTAGTTGATCCCAGCAGATGTCAGCACTCACTGTATTAACATGAAAACAGTCAGAAACCTTTTCTCTCTGCATTTTAAATCTAAATGAAATGAATTAGCAAATATTGTTGAAAAACTATGGAAATAGATTCCATTCGTAGTAACTTATAATTTGACAGCAGCAAAAACATCAGATATTGTCAACAATCATTTCAAAAGTCTGCAAGAAAAAATGCTGAATGTATCTGAAAAGGCTAAGAGACTCATGAGTCAAAGACGGAACTTCTTCTAACAATCACTGACTTAAGACAGTAGAGTCACTAGAGTAGAGTAAGACTTAAGTCTTACCTACTTATTATACAGTCAAGTAACCTAATCGTAGAAACCTATTTATCGTGGATTTCCGGAAAGGATTAATAATATACATGTGCGACCTTGCGTGACCTTCGCATTTGCTTGTTTTGATAAACATGGGTTTTCTGTACAATATCAGCTAGAAGAATGAATTCAGTAGTATCAAGCAAGGTAAAATTATTAAGGTATACTTTGACAAATACAAAATGGCGGATTTCACTTATTACCAAACGTCACCATTTTTTATCGGCCGAATTTCCTTATAATCCCAAGCAGTAATCGGAATTCCAAGTGTCGTCTGCTAGAATGGAGTCCAACGAATGAAGTCACGTGATCAACTAGAGGATTCCGGGCCAGCAGAAAATTTCTATGGAACACAAAGTGGGCCATATTCTTATGTTGTTTCAGTGACTTTTAGCAATAAATCACGCTATGTATCTTATTTTGTCAGTCACTATTTTTTTTTTAAAATCGTGGTTCTTTGAAGGAATTGTCACTAGTTATAATGAATTGATATTAAAGATAAATACTAAGAGAAGTTAATTATACCACCCGGTATCCATACAGCGTGTTTTTCTAGACTTATTTATAGATCAAACATTGTACACGAAAATAGGTGATGCATTCTGCCGCCGTTGCCGAGTTGGTTGCTCATGAAATATGGGTCAAAGTGAAGGATTCATAAAGAAAATCGAAATAAACCAATTTTAATCATTTTGTAGAATATCTGATGAAACATCTAAGACGTAAAAAAAAAATTCGTTTTTTAACTTTGACGAAATTCGGTGTTGAATCTATATCCACGAAAATAGGTTACACCACTGTATTAAGTAAACTAGTCAATGGTTGACTTGACCCTCCCTCAACCACAAACCTCCCTCCCTCTAATATCAAACTGTAAAACTACTGTCTTCACACATTCCTTGCAGTAAAAACTCTTGCAAGTTCAATACTGTCATGTGTCAATCCAGTAAATCCCCCCCCACCCCCACCACATACACACACTTCCTAGTCTCGATATTCACTTCATATTTTAATTCATTCCAGCAAATTTCCTTCAAAAAGTCGTAACCCCAAAATCAGACCGGCAGACCAGACCATACCTGTAAAATGTTTGATCTCAAAATATTTACACAGTTAAATAGAGATCGTTTAATTTCACTCGGCAGATTTGCTGTGTAACATTTTGAGGGCGATGACAGCGACGTCACATAAAAGGAAAGATAATTCTCATTTATATCTCTTAACAGCCGAAGGGTATGAACAAAACTTTGCTGTTAATGAAGAATGTTGAAATTGTTTGATATGAAATGAATTAACAATTGATTTAAATAAAAATATTAAAATCATGTTTGTTTTATGTACTTTTTCGTTGTTCCCTTATATTTGATTCGTCGGCAGTATTTATCTGTCTTCGGTTGTTATAAGATATTTCATTTTTTCCCTTCATTTCCTTGGGAATTCATTGGGGACCTGTCAGGGAAAACTATAAAACCCATTTACCAAAATGAAAACAAGGTACCTGTCATAACTTTTATTGATAAAATTTGAATTGATTGAGTTTAAATTTAAAAGATACATTGAAATAAGTAACCAATCAGAATAAATGTTTAAATTTTTTCCCTTATAGGTCCTCAAAAACTAGCCTAGCTGTCGGATTTCCCTCTTGCCCTACTTCTATTTACTATCAATTCTCCGGGAAATGCTTTCAAAGAAGCCGATTGCAAACGTTTCCCATTCGCATTTAATGCCATCCATGCATTTATTACATTATTTAAAGACTATTCAAGGTAAGTAAACAGAGTTGTCACTGTGTCACTGTGTCACTGTCACTATAAGGAATTAAAACCAAGCAATTTTATATCAATACTGGGACGGGGTCTCTGCTAGGACTAGCATTACATGTAATTGAGGGCTTCTGTAGGCCTAGTCCTATTAATACTCAGCATAATTTAATAACCTTAATTTATCTATCAGTACCAAAATCTCTCAGAAAGGTGGAATATAGACTTTAATTAAAGGTCTGAGTCAAAATGCCATTGCTTGTGATTCACAACAGGCACACAGAATTGAGCCCAAACCGAAAAGATGAAAGTTTTGAGAAGATGTTGTCTCAAAATTGTTAGAAATGAGTTTTTCGAGTAGGCGACTGCAGATTAATTAACTGCTGACATTACAATGATATGTTAGGGCATAGAACTATATACTGATCAGTTCTATGGTTAGTTTGATAAATGAAACTGAAGTAGTAAATCTTGGGTGTGACAGACAAAGTTTTTTGTAAATGTCTACTACAGAATGAGTTTAAAACATACCTGTCAGACAGATTATGAATACTAATTACTATAAAAAATTATTAATTGGTTCCCAATGGTTCCAGACATGTGGAATCAGAAACCATATCACCGGATTAACGGGTAATTTTACATAGTAAAATTATATTCTGTTCCCAGTAAAATGTGTTGGGGTTTCCGGATTATCAGCAACCGGATAACAAGGCTCCTCTGTAGTAATATTTTCTAGTTTATTTTAAAAAATGTCACCAAGATGTGGGTATCACAAGATAGATTAACATTTTGTAGGGAAAACATTTAACCAGCAGTCAATGATCTGAGCTTTAGGTAAACAACAAAGAAAATGTCTGATTCTGATAAATATGTACAAGATATATACCAGTGTGAAAGTTATGTCTGTGAAATATTTTTGGCCAAATCCAAATGGATCACTGCCAATATGTAAGTATATATTATTTTCTACAAAGCCTGGCCAGCCTCTTTACGGGCCTCCCCACCTTTACAACCCAAAACAACTCCTGTAAATCTCTATAACGCCCAATACCCTATCATTTGACATATCATTGATATGAATTTTATACGCCCACATTGAAATGGTGATGAGATCTTGGTCAAGTTTTAAATTGGTAACAATCGGATGGACAGTTTTTAGAGTTCATAGTCTAGAGTTTCCGAGTTATTATCTTGACTTAGTAAAAACTTGTCAAAATTGGCTTGTCGGCATGATAGAGACTACAATTTTTATGATTTTGATGAAACTTGGTACGCATGTATTTATTGATGAGATTTTGGTCAAGTTCAATACCAATAATCATATAAAAAGTTTCAGAGTTATTGAACTTGTGTGTACGTCGATGAGACATTGTTCATGTTTGAATTTGATGATAAATTGATGAACTGTTTCAGGTTTTGCCTTAACTTGTAGATGATTTCAATATGAAGCCACTAAAGACTTTGTTATCATTTCTGACAGCTGGTAGATGTGTATGTTACCTTGCCTGGCAAGCTATCTTTTTTCTGTTACAGACAGAGAGATGACAAAAATGACGAAACATTAGCAGACGACATATTTAAGTATTTAGAAGGAGAATTTGGTTTAAGCTATCACAGCGCTGTTGTTAAGTAATTTCAGATTGCTGGAAATAGTGCTTATTTTTCTTTAAAAACATTTCACCTGTGGTGCTAATGTGTTAGCAAGATTACATCATAATTTGAAATTGAATATATTTAATCACAAAAATGCAGTTTCAAGGCTTGACAATAACCACAGAAGATGAACATTTTAATGGGGATTAAGGCACCTTAGAATTTTGAAAAATGCGCTCCCGGGTCTTCTTGTTTTAACGATTTCCTAGTTATAGAGCCCCCAAACCACCACTCTTAATTTTTCGCTGCCTTCAGCTCTTTGCAACGAAGGGCTAAGCCTGTCACTCTTTAACACAAAATTAGGCCCCAGCAACAATTCACTCCTGGTGACAGTCTCAGCCATCAATAACCCTTTTCAAGAGCTACTTTATAAAGATAATTTTAGCATGCCAGTCATTTGATTGGGACAGTTTCTTAAATCAGTTTTACATTTAGTTTTACTAACCCATCAGGTCAATTAAGCCTTAAAATTTTGATTATATCATACTGGTTGTTACAATTTTATAACCTCAGAGGCCTCAGATAGTAAATCCATATTCAATTTTGTCTACATTTAATGGGATCTATTGGCAACAGTGGTGTTTATCTCAAGATTACATTGAGTTAATGTCATTCTGATATATCCAGATATACAAATGTTTACTTTCTTTGTTTCAGAAGTTGTATGAAAATGCTAAACTGTATATGATACAGGCTTTTAAAATCCTGATCAAATGTGCTGGGCTGATATCACAGGTTAGTGTTTTCTGGCATTGTATGACAGCTTAGTGGTTTCCATCCTGTTTTGATAATAAATTATTGAAACCTCTATGTACCTTGATATTTTGATAATAATTTATATCTTTTCAACTATTACTAATTTATTGTTATGTTTATTTTAGAATACTACCAATATTTCAAACACAGATCAGGTGAGTTCTTTTTTTACAAACTAGAGGGACTGAAAGCTGACACTTAGGTTGGCTCTGAATATCATAATGTTTTGTACCTGATTTGGTACTCAAACTGAGTCTAGCTGACAACAATTGAAGTATGAGTTCATATGATTGATGGATAAAGTTGTCTTGATGTCCAGGCAATCTTACACTCATGAATGACGTTATTGCTTGGATATAGCATTGTCAGTCTCTACCAGGCAAGAATGATGAAGATCTCATTTATTTCATTTGATATTTAAACTTTGCTCACTAAATGTTATGTATTATATTTAATGTAAAGAATAAAGCGGTGAAGAGATCTATAATTTTAGAAGTGAATAGACCTGATCATGATAATTTTGTACGTGAGACTTCAAAAGTCTATAGGTTCCTGATGGAATGCTCCAATAAATTAGAAGTAAGTTTTTATGCACCAAGATATTTATGTTATAAAGTATTTACTTTTCAGAATTGATATTTCATTTTGCCATTGTGATGGTTTTATTTCATCAGATTTAGATCAGTAAAGCAAGATGTAGACAGCTTGTTATGTTTTCACGTTTTTATTTACCGCATTAGATGGACATTATTCAAAAGAAAACTGATGTATGCCGCTTTGTCACAAGGTTCAAATAAAATGTTATTCCATGTGATGAGATATTGTATGTTGATCGGTTGAGGACAGAACATGTTTCATAAAAATTTGTTATTCAACGTGCACGACAGACTCGAAACATTTGTTGGCAAAACAATTGTTCAGAATTCAAACAAAGTTAATTTTCAAATAATTGTTTCTTGAAACAAACAAAAAATGTTTCTCGGTTAAAAGATGATAAAGAATTAAACCAAATTGAGACCATATTCAATATAGTTTCCAAATGAAAGTTGAATTTTTGTAAATTATGAAATTTGTGACTTCTTGTAGATTTATCAGAAATCAGAATTTAGTTAAAATTCATCCAGATGATATCAAATAATATGTTTTTCATTTTTTTCCCAGATAATAGATAAAGATGCAGAAAATAATACAGCTATTGGAGATAGAGGTAGAGATCTTTTTAAAGGTATTATCTTGATGTATTATGCTGAGACAATTGGAGTTATTGCCCAAGTTCTTGAAAACATTAAATTTTTAGCCTGTAAACACTCTAGAAGGTGCTATTCTTGATGGATTTTGATGAAACTTGTAGTGAATGTTTGTTATCACCCAAGGATGAATCCTATTGAAAATCAGACGAATCGAAAAATATTTACTATGAGTTATTGCCCTTGTTCTTTAATTGTTTGTGGACACGATAGAGAGCTGGTTTCTTGATGGATTTTGACGAAACTTGGCATGAGTGTTTGTTATCACCCAAGGATAAACCCTAATGAAAAACAGAAATATTGTAAAATATTTGATGAGTTTTTGTCCTTGTTCTTGAAAATGTGTTTAGTTTTTAGTTAGTAAACACTCCAGAAGGCACAATTCTTGTCAGATTTTGAGAGAAAATATTGTTAATTATCATATATGAGAAGGTTGAATATTTCATATTGTGATTGAATGGCAAATATTCTTATTTAAGATGAAATCACTAGTATATTACCTTGCCTGGTAAGCCATCTTAATTGAAAGAAGCATTTTATTGATTGATTATTTTAATGGCCTAGAATATGTGGTTTTATAATTCTAGCATTTACTTTGGATTAGCTGAATCCTATAGCTGTAACTCACACTTCAAAATCAAACTCAAAATGTGCTGTATGTCTAATCCTCAAAATTGTCAAGATAAAAGATAAATTGTGTGGTATTGTGTTAGGAAACAGAGGAGTAAAGGAGAATCCCCCACAGTAATGACATCATAAAGAGGATTCCCTCATCTAGCCATCTGCAAACTAAAAAAATTGCTCACTGAGTCATCTGTTGAGCTTACGCAGGTGTTTAGTTCAAGTTTCTGGACAAATGTAATCACATTCTTGGATTTGTCAAGGATTTGGAAAGATTTTGCTACAGTTTGTTTTTTATTGCTTTTGCAGAATCATGTAATTGTAGCTTTATTCATGACTATCATGATTTTGAACAATTATTTTTTAGTTCTCAGACATAAGAAATTGAAACAATCTGAAATGCCAGTTGAATTTGATTTACATACAATAACATCTGAATATACAGAAAGACGACAGGTAACAAGTTGGATATTGTCATTTTTTTAGCAATTGTTTTGTAACTCAAATTAAACCTAAAGCCATTGCCACTATGAAAGCGCTGGCAGACTTTCGCGATCAATTTTAGTGTATGAAACTTCTGCTATTTGTTACATGCATCTAAATTGCTCACAACAAATATTCAATAATTAAATTTACTCATGCTGTTAGTGTGCATTACGTCAAGTATGCCCAAAACGCAACAGTCTAAATTTGTAAGTATATCATCTTAGTACTTTATATTTTATAATGGAAAACTTCACACAGTCGTAGTATACTAAAGTCAAGTGAAGTCAGAGCTCAAAGTTCTGTAAAGCTGGTCACAATAATCACAAGGACTTGCTTACAGGTCTTCATCAAATGATGCTTTTTTTCAGGCAAGTGAACTATTTTAGCATGTACCTGCTAAATGGTGACATGTTTTCTGGTAGCTGAATGTAACTTGGTTAAAATATATGAAAGAATGTTAATCAATGTTATTTCTGTTTTTCTTGTAGGAAATATTGCAAGAATTTAAACAACTTTATGTAGGTCTGAGTACAAATTTGAAATTATTATATTCATGTATTGATAACTGGAAGGAAAGTCACAAAAAGGCCTATATTAAAGTTGGTCATCAATTTAATATAAATATCCTAAAAGATGGGTAAATATCAAAGATTACAATACTAATTCTCACTTTAACAATACTAATTCTCAATTATATAATAATACTAATTCTCACTTCAACAATACTAATTCTCAATTTTACAATATTAATTCTCGATTGTATAATAAAACTAATTCTCATTTTAACAATATTAATTCTCAATTGTATAATAAAACTAATTCTCATTTTAACAATATTAATTCTCAATTGTATAATAATACTAATTCTCATTTTAACAATATTGATTCTCAATTGTATAATAAAATAATTCTCATTTTAACAATATTAATTCTCAATTGTATAATAAAATAATTCTCATTTTAACAATATTAATTCTCAATTGTATAATAATACTAATTCTCATTTTAACAATATTAATTCTAAATTGTATAATAATACTAATTCTCATTTTAACAATATAAATTCTCAATTGTATAATTATGCTAATTCTCAGTTTTACAATATTTTTTACCATTACTTGAATGTTCAAATTTTCTATGGTACACATAATGTTTCATTTACTGATGGCTGCCATTACTATTGTGGGCATGTTAAGATGACCATCACTATCTTTACAGGACAAATTCTTAGCTTAATCATTGTCATTTTACATTATTCTCTACTTGATCTTTCAAATTCTTAATTTTACAATACTCATTGCAGAGGCAGCTGCCTTTCGGCCAATGACAAATTTTGTAACAGTAAAAATTATCAAACAGTTAATAAATTGTCCTACTAGGTGTGAGAATCAACTAAATTGTTTGAGCCCGACATTGTGCAAACGATTGATGCTGATTGATCTGTTCCTGAAAAAAAAGATCGCAAACTTCCTGCCATAAAATTGTAATCACATCATGCCTCCACCCTAAAATGAGAAATTAGGCCCTTTACCATTTGTTGGCCTCAACCCAACAAGTCCAAAATTCGCCACTGACTAATTGGAATATTATTACTATTGTTATATTTTAGATGTACAGAGGCCTGTAAGGTGATATTAAAGATGATTGGATTGTTAAATAAGGATCATTATCAAAAAATGACATCCTTGCCAGATACATCAGACAAGCCACAGTTAGACAAAGAATCAGCCCTACATGAACAAATTGGAAAACAATTGGTAAAAGATTTTAAAGAATTATTTGAAAGGTAAACATTATTACTGGCATTCAGGTTTATTTTGTGGAATCATTATTATTTATGGTTGCTCAGTTATTGACAACAATAATCACCATCATTATTAATACTCTATCATTCAATTAATCAATTATTGAATTATCTTATGATTTTAGATGTTTTGTTGTTGAGGTTGAACCAACAGATGTCCAGAAAGTAACAGGATCTAGTGAAAAGGGGTATGATGATTTTTTTTATTATAAAGGCAAAAAACAAAACAAATGCTGCCAATTCTGAACAAAAAAAAACTGTTTGACAGAACCATTGTATTGTATATTGTATGTTTAAGGATAAAAATAGTGGAATAAAATTGATTATATTTTGATCAGAACTAAGATCTTCCATTGCGGATATTTTCACTTTAGCATTATTTTTATAGACAATTTGTTAGATTATATACTTAGCAACTCAGTCAGACAGTATGTTAGATTATATATTGAAAAAACTCAGTCAGACAGTTTGTTAGATTATATATTGAGTAACTCAGTCAGGCAGTATGTTAGATTATATATTGAGTAACTCAGTCAGTGTGATAGATTATATATTGAGTAATTCAGTCAGACAGTATGTTGGATTATATATTGAGTAACTCAGTCAGACAGTTTGTTAGAAAATATACTGAGTAACTCAGTCAGACAGTATGTTAGATTATATATTGAGTAACTCAGTGTGATAGATTATATATTGAGTAATTCAGTCAGATAGTATATTAGATTATATATTGAGTAACTCAGTCAGACAGTTTGTTGAATTATATATTGAGTAACTCAGTCAGACAGTATGTTAGATTATATATTGAGTAACTCAGTCAGACAGTATGTTAGATTATATATTCAGCAACTCAGCCAGACAGTATGTTAGATTATACATTGAGTAATTCAGACAGTATGTTAGATTATACATTGAGTAACTCATTCAGACGGTATGTTAGATTATATATTGAGTTATATGGTCAGACAGTATGTTAGATTGAATATTGAGTAACTCAGTCAGACAGTATGTTAGTTTTTATATTGAGTAAGTCAATCAGACAGTATGTTAGATTATATATTGAGTAACTCAGTCACTCAGTCAGACAATTTGTTAGATTATATACTTAGCAACTCAGTCAGACAGTATGTTAGATTATATATTGAGTAACTCAGTCAGACAGTATGTTAGATTATATATTCAGCAACTCAGCCAGACAGTATGTTAGATTATACATTGAGTAATTCAGACAGTATGATAGATTATATATTGAGTAATATGGTCAGACAGTATGTTAGATTATATATTGAGTAACTCAGTCAGTTTGTTAGATTATATATTGAGTAATATGGTCAGACAGTATGTTAGATTATATATTGAGCAACTCAGTCAGACAGTATGATAGATTATATATTGAGTAACTCAGTCAGACAGTATGTTAGATTATATACTGAGCAACTCAGTCAGATAGTTTGTTAGATTATACATTGAGCAACTCAGTCAGACAGTATGTTAGATTATATATTGAGTAACTCAGTCAGACAGTATGATAGATTATATACTGAGCAACTCAGTCAGACAGTATGTTAGATTATACATTGAGTAACTCAGTCAGACAGTATGTTAGATTATATATTGAGCAACTCAGTCAGTCAGTATGTTAGATTATATATTGAGTAACTCAGTCAGTTTGTTAGATTATATATTGAATAACTCAGCCAGACAGTATGTTAGATTATATATTGAGCAACTCAGTCAGACAGTATGTTAGATTATATATTGAGTAACTCAGTCAGACAGTGTGTTAGATTATATATTCAGCAACTCAGTCAGACAGTATGTTAGATTATATATTGAGTAACTCAGTCAGACAGTATGTTAGATTATATATTGAGCACTAATTCTCAATTTTACAATATTCATTACCATTTTTGATTGTTAAAAGTTTCTATTCTACACTTATAATTCTTATATTCCCACACATCAAGCGCCATCGAGGGACAGACATACAGGGACGACGACAATATACACCCACATTGATAATATAGACGAAACCCTGTCAAGCAGTATGTGAAGTGCTTGTAAGATTATAATATTTTTTTTTTTTCCATTACAGAAGTAAGAAAGGAAAAGGGAAAGGTAAAGCAGGGTAAGTCTTTAAATATGACTCGAAAAAACTTCTGTTCATTGTTTAAAAACAAGACGAGGAGATTCTACAATTAGGTGTTTATTTTGCTTAAAGGCAGGATATTTTTAGTTAAATTTAGTTAATCACAAAGTTTTCTTACCTTTTTAAAAAAACAAAGTTCATTCACAGTTATATTACAGGTTTGCCATTTTTCTTCATCACCAGCATCTAATATCTATTTTCAGTGCTAAAGATGAAGAAGTCAAATCTAATAAATGTGGTCCTGAATTTAATGTTTCTGTCTCGTAAGTTACTTTATACTGGATGTAAAATGGCTTTTATTTCTAATCATGTATACAGAGCCTGTTTCTTACTAACAATAACAAATTGTTGGGAAACCCAAGAGCTGTCATATTTGTCTACCTTGGGTTTCGCTATTATACCATTAGTAATTGTTAGGGAGAAACAGGTGGTGTGATTGAAAAACCTTATTAGAATGGAACTGTGTTTGTTAACTTGTTAGATTACAATGGAGATGAGAAATATCAGAAAAACATTTAACTAAATGTAGTATGTTTGAATAAAAAATTTTGTGGATTTTTTTTTCAGAGTTTTATGTGGACGAGGATTAGAATGTATATCTGCAGTGATGAAACAAGTCAAAGCTAAACTATATTATGAAGAAAATCAAAAACTAGGAGGATGTGTCAGTGGAGAGTTAAATGTTCCTCAAGTTTCAGTTGGCAAAGATGGTATTGCTGAGTTCAAAAAACAGAAAATTATTAATTTTGAGAGACCTGGCAAAAATAACAAATCAGAACAAGTCACATCAGAAAGATATCGTATTGTATTTGAAACAGATTTGTCGATTCAAAATCCTAAAATTACCATAGAATTAAAGGTAAGAGTCCTTGAATATATTTTAAAAATTACTACTTCCGTCTTAATATTCTACTTCTGTGACGAGGATCGACTACTATCAATCAAACCCAGCATCCTATACACATACAGTAAGGATGTAATAATTGTATTATGATGACAGCCATACCCTACACATTTATATCTTACTAAAACAAGTAGGAATTGATCTAAGTGCTACTCTGTATGTGTAAGACATATTTATTAAATTTATGCATTGACATTTTCAGACTATGTCTTTACCTATGGCAATAATTACTGGTAGTAATCAAGCTAATAGTGCACATGGGGCTTTATTATGGTACTGTTATAATACCGATCCTGTAAGTATAGAGTGTACTGTAACCCATACCAGTTTAGCTTTAAATCAAATATGTCATAGATCTAAAGGAATTGTAAGGGGTCTTCCGAAATCTTTATGTGTATCGGGAACACTAATTTTTCTGGGACACTGATATCATCGATTTGCACCATTCCAATTTTTAAACAGATGACTTGACTAAAACTATGCATTTGATGATGTCACTAATATATCAATAGCAGCTTTTGCGATAATGACATCACAAAACACTGAATTTTATTGGTATTGTAAGAACCACAGACACCTGAATGAAAATATGAATGCTACAAATCAATGATATCAGTGTCCCAGATACACATAAACTTTTACTGCAGAATATTTGATGGATAGAATTCTGAAACCTATCTGAACTCTAAAACATATTCATATTGAAATGATTCAATTTATCATTTATATAAAAAGATGATGACTCAGTGTCAGGTTTAATAATGTTTTATGATGATATTTTCAAGAAATACAGATTCAAAAATTAATTTTTCAGTATCTTTTACCCAGTTTACCTGTATCTATACCCACTGAAATATTTACAGACATGATACAAGCCTGTTTTAAATATCTAGATGGTCGTCTATTAAGAGAGGATGAAATAAACTTTCTACTTGTTAAATTATTCAGTAAGTTAATTTCCACACTTCATGTATGCTTGTAGAAGTTATTGTATCAAAGTTTTCTTTGGCATTTTGGAGCTGTCCACTTTCCATTGTCCAATACACAACAAGGTTTATTAGTTTTAGAAATTTTTTAAGGCTGTAATTTGTGTAAAGTAACTGTTTGTGACATATTTTATCTGATTGGTATCATTAGTAACCCAGTTTCATATTAACAATATTCATTATACTCTGTGTCACTGGACATATTGTAATTTGTATATTTATTATAAACAGAATGTCAGAGAGTTTCTTGAACTGACATTAAAAGGAAATCAATTGAGACCAGAAAACAATGTCGGAATACTTAGATGTTGTCTCAGAAACAGATTTTTTGTAACTAAGCTAATAAGTAATAGTGTCATGGCTCACCGTCAAAATTTTAGCTTTCAAATCCATGTGTGTACAGAATTATGTGTGTTGAAATGTTAAAAACACAACTTGTCATTTCTTGAAACTATAGAAAAGACATATATAGAAATAGAAGTTCCTAGTTTGAGGTTCTTTTGAAGGAATTATGCAATTTTTGTTAGTTTCTAGTACTTTTGAAGACTATTTATATACTTATATATATATATATTCAAGAACCAAATCAACTCGCAAAAATGGCAAATCTGTCACTTTAATGCTGACCTATATTTATGTTTTACTTTTAACCACTGACCTATATTTTATGTTTTACTTTTAACCACTGACCTATATTTCATGTTTTACTTTTTAACACTCACCTATATTTTATGTTTTACTTTTTAACCACTGACATATTTCATGTTTTACTTTTAACCACTGACCTATATTTCTTGTTTTACTTTTAACCACTGACCTATATTTCATGTTTTACTTTTTAACCACTGACCTATATGTCATATATTACTTTTAACCACTGACCTATATTTCATATTTTACTTTGTAACACTGACCTATATTTCATATTTTATTTTTAACCACTGACCTATATTTCGTGTGTTACTTTTAACCACTGACCTATATTTCATGTTTTACTTTTAACCACTGACCTATATTTCATGTTTTACTTTTAACCACTGAACTATATTTCATGTTTTACTTTAACACTGACCTATATTTCTTGTTTTACTTTTAACACTGACCTATATTTCATGTTTTACTTTTAACACTGACCTATATGTCATGTTTTACTTTTTAACACTGACCTATATTTCTTGTTTTACTTTTAACACTGACCTATATTTCATGTTTTACTTTTAACCACTGACCTATATTTTATGTTTTACTTTTAACCACTGACCTATATTTCATGTTTTACTTATTAACACTGACCTATATTTCTTGTTTTACTTTTTAACACTGACCTATATGTCTTGTTTTACTTTTTAACACTGACCTATATTTCTTGTTTTACTTTTTAACACTGACCTATATTTCATATTTTACTTTTTAACAGTGACCTATATTTTATATTTTACTTTTAACCACTGACCTATATTTCATATTTTACTTCATAACAGTGACCTATATTTTATGTTTTACTTTTAACCACTGACCTATATTTCGTGTTTTACTTTTAACCACTGACCTATATTTTATGTTTTACTTTTAACCACTGACCTATAATTCATGTTTTACTTTTAACCACTGACCTATAATTCATGTTTTACTTTTAACACTGACCTATATTTCATGTTTTACTTTTAACACTGACCTATATTTCATATTTTACTTTTAACCACTGACCTATATTTTATGTTTTACTTTTAACACTGATATATTTCTTGTTTTACTTTTAACCACTGACCTATATTTCATGTTTTACTTTTAACCACTGACCTATAATTCATGTTTTACTTTTAACACTGACCTATATTTCATGTTTTACTTTTAACCACTGACCTATAATTCATGTTTTACTTTTAACACTGACCTATATTTCTTGTTTTACTTTTAACACTGACCTATATTTCATGTTTTACTTTTTAACACTACCTATATTTCATATTTTATTTTTTAACACTGACCTATATTTCAAGTTTTACTTTTTAACACTACCTATATTTCATATTTTATTTTTTAACACTGACCTATATTTCATATTTTCCTTTTTAACACTGACCTATATTTCATGTTTGACTTTTAACCACTGACCTATATTTCATGTTTTATATTTAAGTATGATTTGCATTTGATGACGAGACGTGTAAATGGTGTTGAAACATTATGTCACCAATTTAACCACTGACCTGTATTTTATGTTTTCATGTTAAAATTTACCTCAATGTTATGTAGTCATATTGAGAATTACCTATATCTTATGTTGTCATTAACCTATTTTTATGTTGTCATTTTAAATACTTACCCATATTTTATGATGCTACTGACCTACATTCATATGGTGTCCTTTTTATCACTGACGTATATTTTATGCCGTCGTTGATCTATTTTTATGTTGTCATTTTAAACACTTACCCATATTTTATGATGCTACTGACCTACATTCATATGGTGTCCTCTTTAACACTGACCTATATTTTATGATGCTACTGACCTACATTCATATGGTCTCCTTTTTATCACTGACCTATATTTTATGCCGTCATTGATCTATTTTTATGTTGTCATTTTTAACACTGACCTATATTTTATGATGCTACTGACCTACATTCATATGGTGTCATCCTTACCACTGACCTATATTGTATATTGTCATTAACCTATTTTTATGGTGTCATTTTTAAAACTGACCTGTATTTTATTCTACTGACCTACATTTATATGGTGTCATCTTTACCACTGACCTATATTGTATGTTGTCATTGACCTATTTTTATGTTATTTTAAGAACTGACCTATATTTCATGCTATTGACCTACATTTATATGGTGTCATCTTTACCACTGACCTATATTGTATGTTGTCATTGACCTACTTTCATATGGTGTCATCTTTATCACTGATCTATATTTTATGATGCTACTGAACTATATTTTATGATGCTACTGACCTACATTCATATGGTGTCATCTTTATCACTGATCTATATTGTATGTTGTCATTAACCTATTTATATGGTGTCATTTTTAAAACTGACCTATATTTTATGCTACTGACCTACATTTGTATGGTGTCATCTTCACCACTGACCTATATTGTATGTTGTCATTGACCTATTTTTATGTTGTCATTTTTAAAACTGACCTATATTTCATGCTATTGACCTACATTTATATGGTGTCATCTTTACCACTGACCTATATTGTATGTTGTCATTGACCTACTTTCATATGGTGTCATCTTTATCACTGATCTATATTTTATGATGCTACTGAACTATATTTTATGATGCTACTGACCTACATTCATATGGTGTCATCTTTATCACTTACCTATATCTTATGATTCTACTGATCTACATTTTTGTTTGTCATTGACCTATTTTATGTTGCCAAGTAACAACTGACCTATATCTTATGTTTTCCCTTTTTTCAGTTTTTCATTTCTGGCTCTGACCTATATTTTAAGGTTATACATGTAATTGCATTGACCTTTTTTATGTTTTCAGAACAAGACAATAAACAAATGCAGCCTGTATTTAGAAATGAAGTGAAATTTGAAGAGTTTGAAGGCACTCATGTATGTTTGAAATTATTACTTGCAAACTAGACATGTGTCACAAACCATCATACTGAAAAATTGCTCAGTGCTAGTGTTTCATTCCTGTTAGGTGAAATTTACGTTTTAATTATCTAAAGATGTTAAATCTTAATCCCATTTCAAACCAACTGCCCTGATGAAACTTGTGTGAAACGTATCAATCAGCTAAAAGGATACACATTTTGCATCTATTGAAGAAACTCTGATTTCAATTTATATACCTGAAAAGTTATTTCATTTTGTGTTTATTTACAGAGATCGAAAGAGGATAAAACAATTCCATTCTGGAGGTGGTTACAGGCCATTTTGAATTTGATTGAATTTTACCTCTTGAAGCCGTGGCAAGATCAGTAATTATTTTTATTACAATAACTTTGTTTTTTGCAATTACTGATTACTCAAAAATTTTTAAAAAAATTTTATTTTCAGAATAGCAAAGTGAAATAACAGTGATCATTGAGCAAGATTCCAAACTGAATAATTGCCGTACCTCTAGTTTAAGCAGACTTTATGCAGTTTACTACACTATTGGTCAGATATTATCTCTCAGTGCATCACAGCTGTCTGTCTATTAATACATGTTTATGTTTTTGCCAATTTGACAATTTAAACAATCTATGAATTTAGACCATAAGATTTAACATATATGAAGTTGTAATTAATATGTTCTACTCTTGTCCAACATCAGTAGATGTGAGCGTATGGAGTAGTGATTCATAGAAGAGAAACATATCCTTTTAAACCCTTACATTATAGAGTTATACATGGATTTGTATCAAGAGAGAGGACTGATCAGTTATTACGTAATGAACCTGATGGTGTATTTTTGTTACGCTTCTCTGAAAGTAAGGTTGTTGGTGATGGACAGAATAAAAACCTGACTGGAGCAATAGTAGCAGCTTTCTCTCGTGGAGCAGGTATTTATTTAAATTTTGTATGTTTCACTTAAAAATACATGTATTTGAAATATTATTGTTAATCTGTTGAGTTAATAAGTGGATACAATTATATGGATGACAATTATTTCTTCATCAGATTATTATCTGGTTAATACATCTGTTTATTTATTTCTAAATCATCCTGATCGTATCCTTTGTCTTTTGACAGGATCTAAACCAATATTAAGTAGTCCTCTAACAGTGGAATCATATTTTAAGAAATATTCATTGTATGCTGTATTAAGTGGGATACAAAATGAAGAGAAAGGCAGACAATTGTTAAAGAAGTTGTATGGTACCCAAACTACTATCAAAGATTTTAAAGCTCTGTATCACCATAGTAAACATGACAAAAAAGGTTAAACATCATTTTGAAAAAAGAAATCCTTAGAATAATCACCCATGTTTTATGTTTATTTCTGCTTGTGATTCTTTCTTTTTGTTTCATCTTGATTCTTCAATAATTCTTCATCATACCTGTCTTGCTTGACTTGAATAATTGTTTGTTGTCATATTTGTTGATTTATATCATATAATTCTGTAGAAATTATTGCTATTTAGATATGGCAACACAAAATAAAAGTTACCCAAATTGGAATGAACAGACTTTATTGATGTTGAGGTAAATAACTTTTTTTATTATCTAGCTATAATTAGACTACTTTCAAGGACACAAACTATAATTAGTTAAGCCTTTGATGAAGCTGGACTTGCTGGAACAGAGCAATTGGTTAGTTGGAATTCCATAGAATTCAATAATTGAAAATTTTTACAAGCCAATAAAACTGATCTTTTGTATTCCAAAATGAAAATCTCTTCCTTACATAATTGTTGTCAGATATCATATACAGTAATTCAGGTGAGCTGGTTGTAAAAAGCCAAATTTTCTATAGAGTCTGTTCTATGCACAATATTCTGAATAAGAAAGAAAAAACAAATTATAAACCTGGAGTATATCCTTTATTAATAATGATTAACAGTAAAATTGAGTTGAAAGATGATGAAGATGATGATGATGATGATGATGATAATGATGATAATGATGAGGATGAAGGTGATGAAGGTGATGATGATAGTGTGAGTGGAGAAATTAAAAGAAAGAAACCTAAAATAAGACATGATAGTATGAATTCTATTGCTTATTCACCAGAAATACTTAACAACCCAATTCAGCAACCTGAAACCCCTACTATGGTGAGCTGTTTTCAAATTATTATATATCAATTCTCTTTACTTGCTGATGGAATCTGATGTTGAAAATGACATCCTTTATTTGACCCCAAACTAGAAATTTTACTTTCACTTTCTATCTTCTCTCCTGAATATTTAATGTTGTGTCAACAAATTCTATAATAGTAAAAACCAGTGTGTGTATGCTCTAGCACAGGCCTGTGCAACCTTTCCGCAAGAGCGACCACATTTGGGTGATACAAGGAGGCTGCGGACCACGTTACCAACCATCAATGTATCATGGAATTAACAATGAGAAACATGTAATTTTTCAACGTATTTCAATGTACATTGCAAATAACAGACATATTTAACGTAAAATCACTGTTTCACACGAGGTCAGACCTCGTTAACGATTTGATTGGTTAGATTCATTTTGACATACAACAGCGCGGATATAACAGGTTTTGATATCAGAATAGGCAGGGACAGTGTCAAGAGCAAACAAACCATTTCCTCGCGTGCTGCTTTTCCCTTAAATTTTACATGACGCCACAAGCCGCATGATATCATCTAGCAGATGGCCTGTGTGTCATAGGATGCTCAGGCCTGGTCTAGCAGAAAAACGAAACTAAATTTGAAGACTCAAAAATTTGCTAGTGAACTAACAGCTCTCCAACAGATGGTGGAATCGCAAAAAAAGTCATCAATGTAACTTTCAAATGTAGATGATTATGGATACACATGGGAAAGGAGACTCAAATGTTGACAAATAAAGTGTTCACATTATCATTGGGTTAGCTCAACAATTTCTTTAAATTAAGGTTGTCATTTGATTTTTTTTATTTTAGGATGAAATGATATTACCACTAAATGCTGTTGATAATCTACTGGCATCAAACAATCAACACAGTGGTCCCAGTACTTCAATGTTTTGTAATTCATTTACTCCTATACAATCAAATGCAGAAAGTGAATTTGAAAATACCATGTTTTTACCAGATGGTACTGTAACTGATGGTGGGGCAATCAGCTCATCTGGACATCTTTATCAAGTTTCAAGTCCGAATAACCAAACCTCTCTCAGCTCATTCCCAAGTCCTGCTCACTCTTTTGTAATAGGTACTGTACATAGTGGGATACCAAGTCCACAATTTAACTATGGTGCAACAGCTTGGAGCACAGCAAATACACAACATTCAAATGACAGCATTCCAATAACTGCTCAAGAGTTATCTGCCGATTTTATGAGCTTAAGTGGGCCTGAGAATATGAGTGACTTGTAAACATGATGGTCTGTATTATTACGGTATATAATGAATACTAGAGCAGTTTTCAAATGTCTTTTCATTGATATTTCATTTTTGTAGAGAATTTCACCATGTATTGAGGTAGAAAAATGTAATAAGGCTTATTTTTAGCTGAACTTTGTGCATCAATATTTTACCTATTACTAGTAATTCTGTAAATTGGAGATAATTTTGCTCCATGTGACTTTTTTTAAATAGTATTTAAGACAATGCCATCAAGGCAAGTAAGAATTTTTAAGTTACTATGAAACTATGACTGGTAGAAGATCAGATTTGTAAAAGATTAAAATACTCTACATGTTGTACATGTTAAAGTTTGTTATGTTTAAGATATACAAATTGCAGGTGATTTGTATCCATGAATTAGTGGGGCAATTTGTTGACCTTCTGTTTTGGTAATATTTATTATTTGTTAAGATCGTTTCACAACCATATTATTCTGTTTACTGTACATCTACATCTATATGAAATTGCAAAGGAAATTTATCTTTGTCAGTTGTTTATGTAATAAGCCTCCTAAGAAGCCTATGAAATTTATAACAAGAATACTCATTCCCACAGGACTGGGGTTACTCCAAACTGAAAAAAAAACAACCACAACTGATGTCCCACAGTTAACGCACTCTGTAAATTTGTGTTTAACTGGTTATAGGATATTTCTGGGTTTTTTTTATGCTATCCTAAATAGCCTGATATTTGTTTTAAAGTCTATATGTTTTAATAAGGATACTAAGGAAATATTGGAGAAATACTCGAATATTTTTGTTGTTTATAGGCTGGAGATCAAACTGCATGAAACTTTAAGTAACAACAAATATCCGGTTTTGTTAAAATATTTCAATATCCGCTCTGTACTTAATGCATTCAACTGTGAAATATCTTGTTTTTTAATATAAATATATATTTGATTGTTAAAAGCTTCTATATACTATATTGTGTGGAAAATGAAATAAAATACCTTGATAAAAATTGCAGAATATAGTCTCTTACATCCAGACAACTCATGTCTTCGACAAGGTTTGCTTACACAAAGTGGGTCTGAATATGAACAGTCAAAAATGAGTGTAGGGCTCCAGATTTATCATGCCAAATTTGACCAAAGTAGCATCAATTCAGGAAGCATCATTTTTGGTATGGTTGATAAAAATTTATAAAAAAAGTTGTTTCTTGACTGCTTGAAAAACTACTGGGTGAGAAAAATATTTATAAAACAAAGTATTATAACAGTTCAAAATTTATTTACTATGGAAACCTCATTACTAATCAGTATAAATTTGGTTTAATAATTTGGATCAGAGATCTTCCTTTAACTACATTTAAAAATTTATCTGTATTATTTGCTTTATGTTTACATTTACACAATGAAACAGCTCTTTAATTTCCAATAGGCTGAATGTTAGACTGGACTAGGCTACCTTGGTGTATTGGATCTTATTCTGGCCATGTAAATTAATGAGTTCATTATTATTATTGCAAGTCTAAACTATATAATAATTGAGCCAGTCTGTATATCAATTTCTAAATGTTTAATTTAATTTCTTCTCTTGATGTCCTTTATTAAGTCTATAACATATCCTTTTGTACGAATTATTCCTCGACACTTTACTATCACAGAATAACGTGAAATCCAAGATGGCTGCCAGAAATCGCCATCTTTTTGTGTACTGGATTTACGTATGGTATCTTGTAATTGTTGAAGAGGAAGAACATCTGAAATATATGTAAAATTAATGTTTGAGTCATTTCATTTTATAAGTTCTGCAATTGTTACAAGAAACAGTTCATGTCCTATCAAGAAATCTGATTTCTCACTTCTGGAAAGTTGTAGATAGATTTATTACTATAAAAAAGAGGACCATGGTCTAGATTAGCCTCTATTTGAGTCTATTCAAGCAAGGGCAATAATATGATCTTTATAGAATAAGACAAAAAAAACTTTCGTTTCTAGTCTATTAGTGGGTACAAACAAACTGACCATTTAACATAAGTAACTTCCATACACGTACCTGGGGGATCATTGTGAGTTAGTAGAAGTATATCATGTTGTTTGGCAAATTCACGTAAATCTTCAGGCATAACACAACAAGATGCTAAATTAACTTGATCAATGATTGGTTTCACCTATAAATAAAATATAATTTTTACATTCACTATTATAAGTAATCATTGTAAGCACATGAACACACTTTCAAGGCTGTTTCCAGAATACACAAGAGCAGTTTTCTTTCCTTTGAGGTAGAATAATAAGTGTATACTACCAAAAAATGTGTGGATTAATTTTATTTAGGTTATATTTAAACCACAAGCATCTTTTCCCAATTAGAATGTTCTCTTTCTGGTGAGTAAAATAATGTGAGAGTAAACACATACTCTAGGTGTAGAGTCAACTTAGCAGGACCTCTTTTATCATATCAATTGAATGATAGAGGAATGTGTCATAGTCCTATAGTACTATCTTCAAAATGACAAAATACAGAAATGACTAATAAAACCTATCAAAATAGCAGTTTACATGTATACATTCTCCAAGTTGATAACTACCTGACCAATTCAATAGTAGAGTAGCCTCAGGTGCCCTAAACAGTGTGGGCATACCCTTAGATAATGGACATTATCTATGTTACAGATATCTATAGAAAACTTAACTATGAAGACTTACTGAAGCCCAAGTAAATAGCTGTTCAAATTTGGTTTTATCTAAATCACTAACACCCAGTGATAAAATCTTCTGTTCATCTACTAGTTTCTGCAATATCTGCCATGATGGTTTGAAATCTTCTACTGTTAAGTCTTCATTAGGATCGGGTATAGCTAATATTACTGTTTCCACAAAACTTACTCCCAATTCATTTAATGCTACAACAGAATATGATATACCCATAGTAAAATTATTGAATAAGACACTTTCTACTTTCTAGAGCATAATAGTATTTTCAAGCAATGTAATAACTGAACAAATATAACTAGAGAGAACTAAAAGTTCTGACCCATCAAATTTAGTAATTTCTGTACAAATCTAACTGCTTGGAAATCTAAAGCTCCAATTAATCAAATTTAGTGACATGTACAGGTTTTAGTTGTACAAACATATTTATGCACATATGGGTTTGATTCAAAACAAATACATGACCAGATATGAATAGTATATAATGATTGAACTATCCACCACCAATTCTATAATAAGCACCAGAAACATGATAATAATATCATATTCAATGAAACCAATTATTCGAGATAGAGATCTTAACAACAGAAATATATCTAAATGGAATGATATGACTAAATTCAGAAGTATATTTAAAGAGACATTTAGAGAATGTTGAGAAACTAGGTCTATCAATACAAACTACAAGTCACCTTTATCAACAGCATCATTTATAACTTCTGGATTTTCACGATTATACAAAATAACTTTTACTGAAATATATAATTATATATAAATAGCCATATATAACATGGAATATGCTCTTCAGAGTATAATACATTGACTGCCGCTTCTAACTAACAATATATGTTGATTATCATATATATTATACCTATCAAACATTCTATGTAAACGCTTCACTAGGCACAACAAGTGCACAAACCTAGTGGCAGGTGTCCTTGAAGGATGGGCATTTTCTGGACACCTATTGTTTAAGTGGAGCTAAAATGGGCAATAGGTGTGGTGTATTCAGTGGGATAATCAACCCAGTAGAAGAAGAAGCAAATACACATGGTATTGGTCTGAACAAGATACAGACACGATCAACTTTAAATATTTACTACTGTATTTAAAATCCCAAATTATGCACTGTACTTAGACTTTTCCCACCTTTATACTCGAGAGCCTACAGTTAATAGGCTGTAATTATGATGAATGCTAATTACCTGTAATTTTCAGATTGTCTCTCTCATCATCTGGTAACTTCTCTTTAAATTCTTTATTTTCACAAAATAATTCTGTGGTATACTGAAAACAGTCAATTAATAATGTATGCTATGTACTGAACACATATATTGATATACATCATAATAATATGTATTTAATTGACTCATCTTTATAACTATATACAGTCTGGCCATAGTGGCTTTGCGAGTGAAACTGTTGCATAAGATCTACGGTTCAATGTAAGCAAGGGTCTAGATGAATTCTTCAGATTTGTAAACCCCCTGTCAGTGATTCAGGTCAGGAGGGCTGACATTGAAAAAGAGTCATGTGATGGAACAACAAACCAAGGCCCTACATGGCAGTGCCCATTTCCATTGGCCTAATTAAGTGCAGAATAGTAGGATGTATAAAATTCCAACCTGTAGTTGATTTCTGTCAGCAGATTCTAAATGTTTATTTAAACAGGCTGATATACACTCACATATCTATAAATAAAAAAAATATATTGAACAAACCTGAACAAAACAATCTTATAGTTCTATCATTTGACAATAGTCACTGTCCTCCTAATATCAACAGTATAATCTCTCTTACTGTTTACATATTCATGAACAGAGGATGATATTTACTTACTGTTTTGTTTACATTGTGTTGAGTAAAACAATGTTGTTGTTATCTATTCTATCAACTAATAGACTATTAAAGTCATCAAAATTATATACTACATTAATGAATTTAGGGCATTGATATATATCTATTAGTCTACTAATTTAGCTTATCACCAGTTTAAAATTATCTTACATAAAAGATTAACACAAATCAACTACTGACACAAATATTACTGTCAATAAGCTAAGCCACCAGTATATAATATGCTCACTCTATTTAAACCTGAGGGGAACAGGAGTGGAATCTTGTATTTCAAACCCGATTCCAAATTATTTTTAAAGAATTGACATGGGATTCATTGAATTAAACATCATGTTAAAAATCACTTCCCCCTGATCAATAAATATAGAACATCATAGTTCACTTTATTATCTATTACATACAGGGTTGCATCTACTATGTCATTCACACATTTCATGAGTGTGATCATATTTACAAAACAAAAAGTAAAAAAAGGCTGTGTCAACATGTTAAATGGCTAGTTTTAAAATCTTGTTTCATCATTAATATGTATCATCCTCTACTGAAAGCAGCATGTTAAACTTTTAAAGCGAAAAACTGTAGATGAATGAAATAGTTTTGGTTAATCTGTCTCTATTCCAGTCTGTGATAGCTATTTTAATATTGGCTGGTGACAGAAAAAAAAGCCCTGTTAAATGGGGATTTTCAATATCTCCACAGGTGCAGGATCTGCAAAACCCAGATATATTTGGAAAGATGAATGTTTTTATACCATCATTTTCTCCCTACACCATTTATGTCACGTGTCCGGTTCCATCAAAGTCTTTTTTTGATGAAACTGATCTCAATTTGGCCATTTAAGACTGAGCGCAGCCAAGAGTCATGGGATAGACTACTAACAAAACAAAAGGTAAGGTGATGTCCAAGACTAATTTAGTTATATCGTAAAGATAAGTTAATATCATGTTAGAAAAGTGCATCTTCAGAGGTGAGGAAAATCCCCATTAAACAGGACTACTCCAACCGACAACTGTTAAAATATCCATCAGAGGCTGGATACATTTAGATGTTTCAGACTACAATGACATTGTAATATTCAATGGGCACAAGTTGTCTCAATGAAAGAAAATACATAAATAAGTCAAAAGATCTCTCACGGAGTATAAAAATTATGTAGAACGTAAAACTACATATAACTTGTATCATTTACATATTGTATGTGTTTTACGTCGGCAGGTCTGGATTACATACCTGAATACAAGACGTCTTGATAACGTCGACTTCAAACAGAAAACAACAAAAACAAAGTTAATTTATATAACAGAAGAAATACCATAAATATGAAGATAAATAGCAGTACCTCTTCAGTTGGAGTGTTGTTTGGTTTTCTCTTCAATCTATTCCAGTTGACAATATTTCCACTTTGTACAACAATATTACCAAGTTTAGGGAATAACGGGATCGTCTCAGCCATGTTTGTTGCTACTGATTATCCAGTCAAATAAAACCCAGTAACCGACTAGTCTATTCTGGTTGAATAATAATTATGGACTGATCCAAATCAATATGTATACAGTCTAGAAAACATATTTGCTTCATCACCATGACATATCAAATGTTTTTTTGAAAATACAGTGTTTGTATTTTGCGTTTTGAAGTAACAAATGATTAATGTGGCATAATTTTAAAGCACAATTTACAGATTAATACAATAATGATAATGGAATCTAATGTTTCTGCAGAATGAAGTGATACTTATTAATGCCATCATTAATTTTATGAAATGAGCCTATGAAGGTATTTAGAAGCACATGAAAAGCACTAGTATTGTAATAAATATTCAGATAGATTTATTATAATACTATAGTATGATGATAGGCATATTATACTTCCTTCTTTTGAATTTCCTGGGAAAAAACTGAGACCTATATATATGTTAAGGCTTTTGAATTTTGTGGGCAATATCTTAGGTCTACATATATTTCAGTCAAAGAAATGTCCTTCTCCATACCAGTTGGGTAATCAATTTCAATCAGAGATGGAATAAATCGCTCACATAGCCTACCAAGGTTCCTGTAAATTATAAGGGTCATTGGACAAAAGGCTCTCATTATAAAGAACTGAATAGCTTCCATATCAGCCTACAATACACATTAAAAGAACTGTTAATGTCATGGACTGGGGACAGGGAGCAAATTCAATTTTTTAAGGAAGACATTAGTCAATATCCAAAAGTATGAGACTTAAATTTTTGTGAAAAGGCCATTGGAAGGTTAATAAAAAGAAATATAAAGTATTTGACTGATTTATTTAGTTGTTGGAGATAATGTACAAAAGGTGGTGTACAGTCTCACCTAACCTTTATAAAACACATTCATACTTCTTATAAAGACATCACCAGTATAGTATTCTATACTACAAACAATATACATCAAGCAGTTTATATCATTTCTTTAAAGTATCCAATACTCTTCAATTGGTCTTAGATTAGATTCACACCTAAGGACATCCTTACTTTAATTTAGATGGTTGGTTTTTTAACACATTAAAAACACATGCAAAATTTCTGTGTTGAGTTTCAGCAGCAATACCAACATGTAAATCAACATTATTGCTACATAGAGTACCTGCTTCTTGCAGAAAAGTTGGACGTTAACCTCCATTCATTTCATTTTTCGTAGCTTCTCATATACATTTTCTTAATAAGGCAGCATGCTAACTAAAACTGTACAAAGCTGATTTTCATATATTTGACATATTCATGGTAGTTCTTAACCAATTTTTGACACAGCCTGTCATCATTGTATGTATATAACTAAAAGCAACAAAATCACAAAGTCACATATAGAAAAAAATCCAGGATTGACAATTTCAATATAGGCTTTTTATGTATTTATATGCAAAAAAAAACTGCCTTTTTCAAGTACCTTGTCAACCTTCTGTTAGAGAGAGAGAGAGAGAGAGAGAGAGAGAGAGAGAGAGAGCCTAGTAAACCATGTACATGGGAAGCCACCAGTTGATGTAAAACAACCTGTGTTTAGAAGCTATATAATAACCTGAAGAATATTCAATATAAGTTTGTAATATGTATATTTTGTTTATATAAATAGTCATATTTACAATGGTCACCAATATAGTATGTAGAATCTATTTTTTTTTTTTTTAAATAAAATATGTCGTTTATAAGTAATCATACATTCATAATAACTTAATATTAGATATTCACTTAGTAAAATTTCTCAGGGTTTTTTTTCTAAGTTCTGATATACAAATTTAGCTTCCGTAATAATTATTTTTTGACATTTTCTATAAGAAGAAAAGATTGGAAATAGAATTTACTTTGCATTATCAGAGCATTAATTTTAATGGCCACACTATCAAATGACATACGAAACTGTGTATAGCTCTTACATGAAAATAACACATTCAAAAGTAGTTTACTACCATTCTGAATATCTTACGACTTAAGGCTTATTTGGAAAAAGCCTGTATTTCAACTAAGCCTTCAAATCACATTTAAAGGTTAAGAAATGGCTTTGTGATTTGAAGGCTTTGTTGAAATATTATGGCCTTCAAAGAAATTCTACTTAATAAGTTGAGGTAGAGATTCAAAATAGTGTGTGTTATTTCTATGTAAGAGCTATATATAGTTTGGTATGTATCTGAGGATAGACAATATGACAATATATGAAAATATGCCTGTGTGTCAAATGCATTGTAATTCAGGGCAATTAGTAATTTTATACCAAATTAACATTTAGTAAATTACAACTAAATCAATATCTATTATTAAATTATTCACTGACATTAGACTAGATATTACAGACATTTATATCAAACGCTTACAAGATAATATAAAATAAGCAAAAATACAAAAATAATTCAATTTTAAAATGATGATACAACCAATCGTTTACATGAGAATCAAGTTATTGTAAATGAGGCAATCAGACTTTAACACAAGAAAAAAAAATACATGATTATTAGAGAATATCACAGAAAAATCATAATAGAAAATATAAATGTACATTAAGTATTGCCCCACCCCATCAAATTTAATCATTTATAATTATTTATTAAATATGGCAAGACCATGTCAAATTTCATAGGGTTATCTGATTTTTATTTTCAAATCCCAGACACACTTTACTTCATACCTTTATTGGCATTTATTAAATGCACATTTTTGTAGTTATTTTTGTAATTGAAACATCCAGAATAGGAAACTTTCATCCAAACAGTAATAATATCTAAATTAACCAGTCTTTAAAAAGGCAGGTATTCTTAATGCCACCATGTAATACATGACCCATCTGTCTAGTAGTGAAAGGAAGGTATTAATGGAGTATCACTGACTGTATTAGTATATTTAACTATTCTTTTCAAATGATGACATACTTATTACCAAATCAGAACATGTTTGTTAAAGTGATACTTTTTGGTGTACAAATCAACCTTGACTATGATAATCAGGTAGACTACAGTAGACTAGTATTTTAAGCCATTTCGATTCAACTTGTCATACATTTACTATGAAATGAAGTACACCAAACTTTGTTATGTGATGATGAAAACAAATCTGGTCGGAGTCACACCTAAAACTTAAAGACCTTAAGAGTAAAGACTGATGATAATTGAAGTTACTGAATTCCCAAGATTTCATATACAGTTTCAATACTGATAAAACTATTTGAGCACAAGTGAATCTTGACAATAATATCTTTCCTTTCCATATATACTTTACAAAAGCATGGAATTAAATTTTAAAACTAGGTGATACTTGAATGAACTGTATTTTATCAATCCCAAATACTTCAGATATTCAAAGAACAGAACAATAATATCTCCTTAATCACAGTCATAATCTCATATTAATCAAATACAGAAAGCTTTTTAAAAACCATGATGTAAACTAAGAATACATGAATACAAGACAAGAACAATGAGATATATTGACTGCTATATAAACCCTGTTGTGGGAAATGGAAAGCATGTTATAAGAAACAAATAAAGATATAAAGCATTTTAAATAAGTGATGTATAACTTCACACTCAACATATTAACTGTACAGTATAAATTAGTTACCTTTATATTCCTATAGAGCTTTACCAACATTATAAGCCTCTTGTTTATAATATATACTAAATTATAATTGATTTCTCTGGGTCTAAGTTTACATAATCATTCTGGTTCACTGAAAACAAGTAGAAAATTGAATTCAAACAGCAACTGGCCAGTTTAAGCTTTTTTAATGAATTTAAGTCAACATATTTGTTCATTCTTACATTACAAAATTGCATTTACTGTTGAAAATTTTACAAAATTTTATCAATTTTTGCAGTTTAGGAGATCATAAACTCAGCACACATACTAAGTAGAATGGGCAAGATTTGAAATAATGACTTAATGTGATCAATGTTGAAAAGCTCTGTAAGAATGTAAAGGAAACCAACAACAATATATCATCATATTTACAATAATTACAATCTACTCCTCCATATATTATTTTTATAAAAGTTAAAATACTATTTAAAACATCAAATTTGTACAAAATACAAACAAATAATGATTTATCATTAAAATATTTCCACTACAAGTTAATACAGAAGTTTGTTGTAAAAATAGAATTTGAGTCAATATGTGAGCAAATCGTTCAAAAAATTTCACTAACTGTTCTTAACAAGGCTAGGAGACAAAAACATTGAGTGTATAACAGTGACACTTATAGTATGAAGACAAAACTATTTCATCAATGTTTTAACATAACTTATTTGTCTAACAGGAAATGTCAATCAGACAAAGAGATCACCTTATAGTTGAATAATCTTATGATTACATGGACGCATGCTGAAGCAAACAGGAAAACAGCAATTGGACTAAACCTAGCACACAAACACGTGCTTGTCTCAATAAGCAAAAGCTTCTATTTGAATAGTATTGGTCCTAGATATTGTAGAATAAATTAAAATGCAATGGCATCTAGTTAAATTTAAATACTGTTTATGAAATAAAAGATGTAAAACTATCAGAATTCAATTTCATCTTTCAATCACTGTCATTATTTCTTTATTTGTACTTTGAATGTCTGATAAAAGATGGCCGCCACCAGATGGTGTGTTGCTGGTATATGTTTTAAGACTTTGACTATGAGACTGTAAACGTGACAGGAGCTCACGCGTGTGAAATTTTGCGTGTGGTGGGAGCGAGTCTATATATTGACAACACAATGTATAAAATCCTTGCACTTCCTCTGATAATAACATAAAATTTGTACTGGACTTGTTACCAACAGAAGCTAATTTATCTATACAAGATTTCAATTTGCCCGATGATTTAATAATGGCATCTTTAGACACAGGTGGTGCATCAGAATCTGAAGATCCTACATCTAAGTGGGGTGACATTTCAATCACTGAAGTTGTCATCGGATCTGCAGGTTTATTGATGATTGGTTTTAAAGAAGGAAAGACAGGTT